TTGATACGATCAGTGTCCTCCCATTTGTTTTCTTCACTGTGTCGATGTACAAGACTAGTACTTGTAGGAGCTCCGGAGGGCAATCGAATGGCGATGTCCATTCAGTGGTAGAGGCAGGCTGACTGGTAGATACAATAATGTACTATGCATGCCTGCGAGTAGCGAACAGAGTTCCCACAACTGGCACAATCCATTACCATTATACTGTACTACACTGTCACTGAGAACTCGGATACAGTAGGGCCTAGGCTAGAGCCAGTCCCATAGCAGTACACTTGCCAGTAAAGCCCGAACACATTGCCAAGTATTGCGACTACTCTCTCATACTTCAAGTACTAGTGGTTTACATTGGAAACGTGCCAGTACCGGAGCGCAGGGATGAACAGCTAGCTAGGATGGCACCTACACATCGAGTTGCGTCGTGTAGCTTTCATTCATTTCCTTCTGATGTTCCTGACTAGTACACTTAGTGCATGGAGTAACGCTAGTTGGTGCGTTGCCACAATCAAACTTAGTTACTTGGCAGCATGGATCTCTCCTATACTTTACAACGCAATGGATGAAAGAGTCGGAACTAGAGCAGCTCTCTACAAAACCTGGATCTGGGATGAGTTCCCGAACCAAAGCTATTTTACTAAAATTTTCTTTCCTACCACGGTCGAGAAGCACTTCCTAGGCATCTCGTAGCTTCATCTGTACCGTAGTATGTCCACCCGACTACGCTATACTTTCTACTTCGGTCGAGTCGCGAAAAGGTTGGCGTGATCTGACTTCATGCCAGCTCGGCTTGTTATCTGTTCGACCCATCCGGCATCGCGCGACCGTAGCACCATGTCGTCCACGAATGCGAAATGAAGTATGCATCAGGGTCAGGGTTATGGCAGTACGCGTACAATGATTATTGTACATGAACATGAACTTGAAGTAGGAGTATCCATGCAGCAGCTTTCATTCACCGGTCGGCTTTGTTGAGAGTGTACTTCGTATACGAATCTACCTGCCGAGTTGGTTTCTCACCGGGGTCGACTGCATAGCTTGGCGTTATCGGTTTGCATCCGAACGCCATAGTCATGGACTCGAATCCCACCCACCCACTCTGACGCCATCCGACCATCTTTTTTTCCTTCTTTTTTTTGTCATTCACATTTCCTTTTTTATCACTAATTAGTAATGTGATCCCTGAAGTAGCACAGCCACTACTTCACACCCCACAATCTTCCTCAGCCTACTCAAGCCGAACGGATGAGAGGTGAGTTCCCTGAAACACTGTGTATCGCTTTCTTGCAGGTTTGCCGAGTGGAAGGTTCGATGGACTTCTCGTGTGCTCTGGATGGCAGTCGATAGTCAGACTAGTGTCAAGTCAAGTCGCTGGAATAGCGCCAGCTCCGATGTGGGGAGCAAACACTCTTCCTTTTTTTTTCTTTTTTTTCTATCTAAGACGACCAGCCAAGGGACGTCCAAAACACAGCCTGGCAGGTGGCAACCTTATCCGAGTGGTCGCAGCTTTTACTGGTGCTACTGTAGTCAGAAGAAGTCGTCAGCTCCAGACCTACATGTACATGTACATGGCATTGTACACATGTACATGTACATGATTGTACAATGTACATGTACATGTACATTGTACAATCATGTACATGTACATGTACAATCAATCACTATTCAATGCGGAAATAACGTGCCAGAATCAGAGTACTATGTAGCTAGTGAGAGTCTGTATACTAGTATTGCAGTTGTCCGAGCGCCATGTAGGCCTGCGAACGCACCTCACGACCCGCCGACGTCGACAGCCACAGCAGCCCCTGGGGCATTTTTTTTACAGAATGCACCTCCTACTGATAGACCATCACAAAGAGAGGAGAAGAAGAAGACAAAAGAAAATAATGATCGAGACAACAAAGGAGAAAGACAGACAATGTACTAGTAGGGGCTCTCAGGGAGCCTGTGCCGGTGAGGCGGGACTAGCAAGGCCGACCTAGGGTCTCGGCGTTAGCGCTATCCAGCGCACCATGGACGGGATTACGAAACACATGTAAATAGATAAGTGAGGTGGGTATATGGGGTGTTACAGCGAGTCTGTAGCTCAATACCAGCGGCTTTGTCGTAGGTGTTGATGTACCTTGCCCTTGAACGACTGGAGGGCCGTCAGGCGTGGCGGAGACTGCAGCACAGTTGGGGGTAAGTTGTTCCACTCGTCAATGATGCTGTAGGGGAAGCACCGTCGCACGTAATCAGGAGAGGAAGCCGGGAGGACGTTCTGTAGCTGAGACTCGTGGCGCACCCAGTGGTGGGACTGAGTTCGAGGAAATGTTCGTGGAGGAAGCTGTGGGGGGACCAGCGACGTTAGTTGCGGTGGCCCTGCCAGACACATCAGTTTATACATATAGCTGAGAGCGGCGACCAATCACCTTGCTGCCAAACTCTGGAGGAGGACATCAGGGCCAAGAATGTGGAGGGCATACTCTAGGACTGGCCTCACAAAACCTCTGTAGACGGTTCGTTTACCAGCACCATCGAGTACGCGAGCAGCTTTGCGCAGGAAGCCCAGGCGGGAATTCGCCTTGAGTGCTGTGTTGTGGAGGTGGGTTTTGAAGGAGAGGCCCGAGTCAAATGTGATGCCGAGGAGTTTTACCTCCGATAGCTCAGACACAGTGTGATCTCCAAACGTGAGGTCCATGATAGGCCACCTGTGCCGCTGATGGGCTATCGTCATGAGCTGTGACTTTGTGGGCTCAAACCTGATCCGTCACTTCTTGCCCAAGTCATGGAGCGCATCCAGGGTGGCTTGTAAGCTCTTCTTACTGTTTGGGAGCAGTTTCGGTGATCCAATACAGGTGTAGACCGTTGTATCATCGGCGAAGGTGGCCAGTGAACATCCAGGAGCTAGGCACTGCTCCGCATCGTTTACATAGATGAGGAACAGAGTTGGCCCCAGTATGCTCCCCTGGGGTACTCCTGACTCTATAGGGTAGGGCGACGAACTCTGGCCATTCACAACAGCCTGTAGCTTCCTGAGAGACAAATAATCTGTCAGCCAGGTCAGGGCTCTACCACGGATGCCGAGTGTCTGCAGCTTGCAGGTGACTCCGATGTGTGATACCTTGTGGAAGGCGCCTGCGATATCTACCGCAAGAACCATCGAGCATCCTCCACTTCCAGTGGTGAGAGTCCACTCATGATTCAAGGCTTGAGGAGGTCGGCTGTTCCTAGGCCTCGTCTGAAGCCAAATTGGCGTGCAGAGAGGAGGTGGTGGCGCTCAAGGTAGTTTACTAGCTGGTGATAAATGATTCCTTCCATAACCTTAGAGCAGATGGACAAGAGGGATACCGGGCGATAGTTTGCTGGCAGGGAGCGAGAAGCCTTCTTGTACACTGGTACCACATTCGCTGTTTTCCAGGCCGCTGGCTGGACACCGGACCGAAAACAGAGCGAGAAGAGAGTTGACAGGGGACGTGCTAATTCATGGCAGCATTCCTTAAGGACACGAGCTGGAATTTGGTCGGGGCCCGTAGCCTTCCCTGCGTCGAGTCTGGACAAGTGTTACGGACAATGGGAACCCTGAAGTGCACGTCCATGAACTGATATAATGGTGTAGGTGGAATATGGTCTGGAATGTCAGTGGGACTCAAGTCGTCACCACCAAGACTGCACTTCTGCGAGAAGTAGGTACCGAAGCACTCAGCCTTGGAGCGGGCTGTGAGATGTTCACGCTGGTTGGAATCAACAAGCGTAGTGTAACAGGTAGCCGAGTGGTAGGCGCGGTGCAATTAACACGAGTTATCTTTTATTATTATTCTCTTAGGTACACACCTAGGATATATTAGAAGTTAAATTAAAGAAGAAGCGGCAAATAAATAATTTTCTCTCCGGTGCACACCTGGAGGTTGAATAGCTCGTTATTATCAAAATCTCATCTAAACAGAAATGCGCAGCCGCTTTTATTCAGCAGACGCCGTACGCTTATATGCGGAGATACACTAAAATTAATATACATACGGTGAAGTTCCGTATTGCTTCCGTATTGGCCGGGCAGGGATACTACAGTAGGAATGTCAGAGTGTCGTTCCTTCCCGGCGGCGGCTCTAATGGTACTCCACCACTGTTTGTCCCGCAAGTTGCCTGTTCGAAGCTTCTGCTTGAGGTGTTCCTCCCAGGAAAGTTGGGCTTGCTGCAGAGTTGACACAGCATTGGTAACTGCCTGGACATAGGCTGCTTTCAGTGTCTCACTGGCTTTTGAGCGGCTCCACCTCTTCCACGCTGAATGCTTTTGTGCGATTGCACTACTACATTCCGGCGTCCACCACCTGGGATCAGAAGCCCTGGTCACAAGTTCCACCATGACACTGTCCTGCTCGCCCGTCGCGCCAAGACGCTTGGCAGTCACTAGGCTTCATGCCACCAATGTTGTCCGCAAGCTACCGTCGTCATGTCGTTGTGCCCATCACCCACTGCCGCTGGCGCGCTGGGAGGCCCCGCGGCATTCGCCGATCCGAGTCTCATCGCGTCCCATTTGGACCCTCATTTTTTCTGCAGATCGCCACGCTAGGCATATATGGCTACCGAAGTTCTCAAAGCGCGCTTACGTACCGCAATTGGCGCCCATGGGGCCAAGATCTGGAGCCAAGGCCTTACGGGTGTGGCGAATCGGTTGTATTTAGTGTACCCCGTTGAACCCTCACCTTTTCCGAGATTATTATACCTCACATAGCTACGCCCTATATGCCTAGCCCTACATATATGTAGATGACTGTACAGACAGGGTCACCGGTCAGCCCACCGCTCTGCGGACTGCGGGGGGCTAAAAGCAGAGCTGCTGCCTGCTGGGTCCGGATATGGATGCTTCTGCATTCCTTGGGGTGAACCTAGCCTGTAGGGTCAAAACCCGCTCGGTTTACTGCATGTGTTGCAAGAAACATTTCTGGAAACCGGTTCAGAGTAAAATCAGTCAGCAGAGCAGACCAGATCAGGTGTTCCGGTTGAGCCTTCCGGAAGGACCGGGAAGTGTGAACTGCCATGCCAAGAAACTAACTTAATCCGAACATATTCGGCTCAGGTTGGATCTGGAGGACGAGAGTCCTTTTCATTTTATAGTGTTAGCCATTGCAACACTCCGCTGGCAGCCATCAGGAGAAGAGGATTGGCCAGCTGAGAGCTCCTCGCTGTGCGAGTCGCAAGCGAGGGGAACCGGAGGCTGTCGATCCAGGCGGGTGCCTTGAGCGACGCGAATTTCTTCGCGACCGAGAGGAAATCTTGGAGGTGAGTCAGTGTGTTTGCGCGTTGCTTCCATCCTCGAGCTGCAGCTTACCTGAGGTCAATTCATGCTTTGGTAACCTGGGGTATCTTCTTATGCATTCACCATGCCCGAAGGGGAAAGCACTGAAGTAATTGACGACATCCAGATGCTGGCAATGGGAACGAACGAAGGCAATCGATGAGCCTGTGAATATAATAATACCGTATGGTGATTGGAGGGCAGTGAGCGAACCTTGTCCTTGTAGGCAATAGCAGGTCAGCGTCTCCTTGGAACAAGAGCGTAGGTTGATGGTGGAGAAGGGAGCCGAATGGGCTGTGATGAAAGAGAGAGAGACAGAGAGAGAGAGAGAGAGAGAGAGAGAGAGAGAGAGAGAGAGAGAGAGAGAGAGAGAGAGAGAGAGAGAGAGAGAGAGAGAGAGAGAGAGAGAGAGACGGGTGTAGCAGGCAATAGATCTTTAAAATATCCGAAACTCCCAAGTTTTCCTGACTGGGGGTCATTCCAGCCTACACGTAAATTGCTTTGTAGCTTGGTTGCGCAACTGCCGTTGCTGGTGCACCTTTTTGGGAGGAAAGGGGGGGGGGGTCATGGTAGAAACATTCTTGAAGTAGTTCAAGCAGTATAGGTTTGTATTTAAAATTGCAGTGTACATGCATACAGCTAAGTCAGCAGTGCAGCTAACATCTATCTCCAAATACAAATGGATTTTTGCACACTGGCACTGTCGATTCTGCCATCACAGCAGGCACTGAACTGCGATCCTGGGAGGTCATCTGGCCCAAACATGCACCGGCAGAGCGAAGAGTGAAGGCTTGGAGGGGTGGGGGGGGGGGGGGGTATGCACCTGTGTCCCGGGCTATGCGCCTGAGTTCATGTACTGTGGCCCAATAGGCACCGGCGGATTCTGCTGGAAAAGGTGGCAGATTCTGCTCGAAAAGCAGTGAAATTGGCAGAACCATACAAACCTTATGGCGGGCAATTCCTCGAATTCTGCTCCATTTATTTATCCACATACCAGACATGCATGAAACTTACCAGAAAAAGTACCGAATTCTGCCAATTTTTCTGCCGGCATTATCCGCCGGTGCTTATGGCCCAGGGTAGCTATGTTGGCTCATGACTATCATTCACTCGCGGATCAGCCTGTCCCGGTTAACGTATGGCTTATGGGTGCTGACCATCATGATTGCAAACACAAAGGGTACAAACAGCTTAGTGTTGCGCTGGTCCAGCGCTCTCGTGCACTCGAGTTTGAGTTGATAGTGTTGCTCTGGTCATGGGATTTACAGGATGCCCAAGACGATGACAACTGTCCAAGGGAAACCAAAGTTACGTGCAATTCAAGGTTAAAAATTGAGGGTACAATTCTCCATAATTATACATTGAGTTCAGTCGGCAAAGGGTTAAGAGATACGGGCAGTGCTCGGTCCCAATGTGCCCGGATAAGAGACGTTCGAATTCACTTAAATAAGGCCCTGTGTCTAGGCACATCAAGCACTCTCTCCAGCTTCTGCAACTCCCTTAGTATGTTGACATGTATGTACAATAAACATGCACAAGATGGTTTGCATGCACCTGACCTTACCATAGTGATACATGGCACTACCTGGTCACCCCAGGCTTTGCGAATAGTAGTCCGGGCTTCTATTCAAGAGGGGCTTGTATTATTTACGGTCGTTCCAGGGGGGGGGGGGGGGGGGTGGGGGGGGGGGACGGGCTTCTAAGCGAGTGAGTATGGTGTGTGTGGGTGTGCATGTTTGGGCATGCGTGCGTGTGTATGTGTGTGCGCACTTGTGTACATGTATGTACATTGTGTGTGTGTCCCTGTACATCTTTGTATTATTGTTATTTTTATTATTATTATTCCACAATCACGATGACATAGTGCCAATAAACATGTGATGCGGGCGATTTTAACCAGCCATGGTGGGGAAAACTGAATGCGGGTCATTGTTTTATGCACATTAAATTTTGTGCATTCCTGGACTTGTTTTTGCTCCTCCAGGAAGAATGCATCGCTGCTATGGCTTGCCTGGCTTGGCCGCCATTGCTCTTATGTTGCTATTGGCAACATGCTCTGCCACAGGCGAGGGCTTAGAGGACGGTAAGAGCTTGGCTTTTTGTATGAGATTTTTAACATACCTGTTTTTGGAAAGTGTACGCTGTTGCATCTTTTTAAAGAGTAGAATCTGCCTAGATTGTGCAACTCCTGATAGCCTTTCTATGGGGTCTCCCGCTGAGAAAACTCACATCACATGCTGTAGGGTTCATGATACACGTTTCTAGCCGGTTTTATGCAGCAGCGAAGTACTGAAAATAGCGCTCCCTGACAGCAACTCATTGTGCTTGTACAACTCCACAGCACGACCATGACATAATATACTCGGTTTGCGCACACGCTATCCTGCGTTGTACGCAATATGATAATGTACATGTCCCTGAAACACGTGATTCGACCATAAAACTAGGGCTGAAATGAATACATCTTAAAACATGTACTTCAGTACGTCTGAGTGTACAGGTCCTCGCTCGTTAGTAGATAATCTCTGGGCCATGAAAAAGTTGGTCTTGTAACGAGACTTATCTTGTAACAGGACTTGTAGCTAAAGGTGTAATAGGCACTAAGTTGTGCTTACCGAGTTACCCTGGATACAACATAAATTGTCGACGCTTCAACTCGTTATAAGATAATTGAAAATCTCCAAAATAGCTCTTCCTTGGATGTAAAAGACGGTGCATATCTACGACTACATGTATATTATAAGTTGTGTCTTCTGTTTCCTACTGTGTGTTTTGGCCTTGGTCCTGAATGGTCAATAATCATCATACACAGAGGGTTTGGCACTCCGGGGTCCTGAGCAAAGGGTCGTTATAATGAATTTTATGTACTAACGAATTATGTTGTAACCGGACCTGTAAACAGTTGGATAGACCGCATTTTGCCAGGGGATTTCAGACTTTTATTCACTATCGGGGTTTATGTAATAACCAGACTCGTTATCATGAGGGAGGACCTGTACATTATAGTGTACCGTACGGTTTCCGTTCTTATCTGCAAAACATGCAGCCTAGACCCAGGGCATAGATTAACGGCCGGACAGAGGACATTTTCCAGCCATTTTCGGCCACTGACTGGACGTTTTCAATTTCACCGGCATAGTGTCGGACTGTCCGGTCAAAAAAGTAAAAAAAGAGCAGCGACCTTTATTCAGAGTTGGGCTTTCTTCGGAGCTTCGTGCCAAATGCGACTTGCATATCGTACAACTAACACGTACACCGTAGTCTCAGGCGTAGACTGCACTATATTTACTTGATCCGCCTGTAGCAACGCGTTGTTGCTACAGTCAATTCACACTTTCGACCGTTGGGGTTGACTTCGCACTTGAATCGATGGGTTGGACTGCTACTGCTAGTGCAGTTGTTCGCTCTTGAGAGGAAGATGTCATCTTTTATTTTTCACTCTTTCACTGACCAGGAATGCAGATAGGCTTTTAGAATGTCTTCTGGAAAGTGAAAGGGAGATTCAGAGGACTTGCCGCCGGGCAAAAAGTCCATGATGTGAAGGCCGCTACTTGCGATAAGTGGATCTCGGACAACGATGCAGAGCCGACTACTTCCGCCGGGCTGAGTTATGACCGGCAGAAGAACGATCGGCTGTTAGCAGAATGTTTGAAGTGTTCCGTGTGCATCAAGTTTGTAGACAGAGTAGCCATCAATGGGCCACCAGCAAGCCAGTTCAATGCACAGCACGCTGTGGACCTGTGGTGGGCTGACAAATGTCGCAGATCCCCCAGGGAACGTGCTCCAGAAGCTACTGGCACCATCAGTTCCTCACCTGAGATGAGCGATGCACTTGACCTGGAAGACTGGGATGCCTTCCTCGCCGTGTAAGAATATCAGCTGCAACTGAATTCTTGACTGCAACGCTTTCTTGTACATACATTTGTCGTCAGTAAATAGTTCAGTTTCTAATACAAATAAATTGGCGAGTTGTACATATCCCACGTAGTAGTAATGTGTGAGATACGTCCACATAATGAGTCATTGTGAATATACTTCAGTACTACTAAAAAACACCCTGAAAATGTGTTGTGGAAAAGGTCCGGGCATGTCCGGACAGATTTCAAAACGGAAGGACATTTGTCCGAGCTAAATGAAATACTTAAGCTATGCCCTGACTGACCATTCTTAAAGATTGGTGAAATTCTAGCCTGGCCGTTCTTCAGATCCCGACGGTACTGTACTTTGTCTGAGTTTTTATTTATGTATGTGCGCGGGCATGCATGCACACACGGTGTGTGTGTGTGTGTGGGGGGGGGGGGGGGGGGTGGGTGTGGGTGTGTGTGTGGGTGCGTGCGTGCGTGCGCCCGCATGTGCAATATTTCGCATTCTATTTGACCAGGTGTCAAGAAGAGGAGTGGCGGAGCACAGAAGGTCGCAGTTCCCGCTGACTCTCGCCACGACGACGCCGCAACGCCAGCAAAGCCATCCACCCACGAGGCCGCCCCAACCAAGAGAGTAGGCACTGCAAGGGTGAATGATCCCGCACAACCACCCGCACTTCACCAGCGCTCGGACGATTCCAAGCCGAGGAACGTGATCAGATCCGACGGCGGCAAAGACTCTGACGACTTGGACGACAGTGGGACACCGAACTCGCACGCCAAACTGGCGTTCCTGTGTATCTCCATAGTCGTCATCGGCTGTGTGCTCATCTTGCTCATCATCGGTCTCTACGTTCCCATGGCCATCAAGCGCATACGCACACGCGACCAGACGGCGCAGTATCGAGCGCTGCGATTGGCCTAGGTTTGGGGTTCTTTATTCTCTAGGTTGCCACGGAGATGCGATCGATGGGCGTTGGATGTGACGTGAGTTGCACTTGGCTGGCGACGGCTGGTAGTTTCCTGTGACGATTTCTATGTTTCTATTTCTGTGACGATTTCTATGACTATTTTAAAGGAACTTGAAAATATTTTTACCCCGAACCAAACTGTGCTAAAGGCGCACTTGAAGCTGTCTCATTACGACAATAGCCGCGGGGCAGATTGAGTAGTATTTTGTATGTGTGTTTTTTTAACACCAAAAGAAGCCGATGCAAATCATTTCTATCTATCTTTCACAGTGGGTTTTTTATTTTACTTATTATTCTCACCCTACGTATCACCCTTACAGGGCCCGGAAGGCCCATCATTCATACAGTTGAAACCCGGACCTCGGACCAGGTGGTGCGAGCCTGACTGTGCTACACGTATAACATGTGCATGTGTGTGTGTGAGGTTGGGGGAGGGGGGGGGGTACATGTGTGTGTGAGGTTGGGGGGGGGGAGGCCAGGGGGTACATGTGTGTGTGAGGTTGGGGGGGGGGGAGGGGTACATGTGTGTGTGAGGTTGGGGGGGGGAGGGGGTACTTGTAGAAAATTAATAATAAGCTGGCCAGCTCGATTGATGGACGCGCTCACGCTTATGGCATGCAGACCGGAAGTTGGATCATTGACATCAGTATCAGCAGGTTGATACCCGACGACGATGAGGTCAGATTTCTCTACATGGTTAGGTCTGTACATCCTGATGCAGTATTGTTCATGACCCAGCATGCATGATGTCAGGAGTTAGATTCAAACTCACGGCTATGTCACTTATGTGAGTACGACACAACAGGCACCTCCCGGCCGTCTTCAGACTAGGTACTTAAAACAGACTATAAGTCACATTATCATAGAAGTTTCCAAGACAACTACAATAATCTGGCAGGACGCCTAAAAAGCTGCCCGATCCTTTCGGGTAGGGTGCGAACCCTTGTACAAGGCAACTTTCCTGCATTTACCGTATTTTCACCGGGCAGTCGTGCAAGCGTACACACTTTGTACGATTCCCTGCTTCAGACATCTCCTGGCGCAACTGCGCAGAGTCAAAGGTTTACCGGGTATTAGCGGCCGTCGTGAGCTCCCTTCGGAAACGGACACGATAATTAAATTTTTTACTTACTGGATTTTCTATGTACGTAGACTGAAGAGGGCCTAATACTGGGCTGCGGCTTGCTTGCATGCAAGGTTAACATGATAACAGAGCATGGCACCTGGTAAGTAGACTGACCTCAGAAAGTCGTAATGTCCTTGCCATGACACAAGTGGCAAAAATATTTAATTTACATTCTGATTCTCTTTCTCACACACTTACACGCGTACATGCGCGCACACAGACACACACACACATACATACACACATACTCTCTCTCTCCCTTAATCCCTCCCTCTCTCTCTCTCTCTCTCTCTCTCTCACACTCTCTCCCTTCCTCCCTCCCTCCCTCCCTCCCCCTCTTTCTCTCTCTCTCTGTCTCTGTCTCTCTCTCTCTCTCTCTCTCTCTCTCTCTCTCTCTCTCTCTCTCTCTCTCTCTCTTCTCTCTCTCTCTCTCTCTCTCTCTCTCCCCCCCCCCCCCCGTTCTCTCTCTAACAACTAGAATACCAACACATGCTTGCTTTGGTCTCAAAATAATGGAAGTGCAAGGAGGAAGTGAAAAATAGAAAGCATGACCTTGTGTAGCTGATGATGGGCAGGCATGAAAGCGCACGGTCGCCTGCCATTGGCAAGCATAAGCATTGCCTACACAGTAGCACTGTGCAGCGGCAGTGCAGACCAAACTGGCTGACACTGTATTCTTCGCTGCACCGAGCAAGCCTCATGCACACTCATACCACAGTTTTGTGACAGCCTGTGCAGACGTGTGAATATAATATGTAGCAGCGATGCGGACTTGTAGTGTAGCGGTCCAGTCTCTCAGTTTATTCTATACGGCAAAGTGAGAGCTCAAGGGAAGAAAATCATGAGTGTATGTGTGTGTGTTTGTATGTTTGTATGCTTGAATGTGCCTGTGACACACCATAACACATCATAACACGCACACACACACACACACGCGCACGCACGCACACACACAGAAAACACGTGAAAGGCAAGTGCTGACAAAGAGCGGTAGTACCTATCTGATACACCATCGTATCTAACGTAATCCATCTAGCCTTGAGTAAGCCATCTGGCCTTGACTAGCAGCCTCTACCTGGTCAACGCAGCATCGCTCACACATGGCCACGGCAATCACATCCGCAATCCATACACAGTAAAGGAAAGGACGGCTTGGTTAAGGGTTTCCTGTTGAGCGCACCCAGGCGGCGGTTGCATCCAACGCAGGTGTCACGGATTCGGTTCCTGGTTGAAATGCACGTTCTGGAACACACACAAACGGAAATGGGATACGTTGCAAAACAGTTAGACATCAGAATACTCAATGGTGTCCCGTCATTGTCTTTGTGCTTGTCTCTCTCTTGTTCTTTATTTCTGTAATGTTTGTCATCCCCCTACGCCTTGATCCTGGAGGGTGATGGCGTTCCTGCGGATGCGGAAAACTCGGCTCAAAGCTGAGTCTCACGCGAACCGGGAAAAAGATTGTCATCCCCTCCCTCCTTCCCCCATACACACAAGCATCTAAGCATACCCTGGAAGAGTGGACCTCGAAACGTACCCGTTGAAAACTGCAGCCCCCCCCCCCCCCCCCCCCCCAGAGTAGATCAGACCCACCACCAAAGACGGAAATCCCATTCGCTGCATCCATTCACAATAAATCCATGAAAGTTCATCGACGGCCGCCAACATTGTGGTTCAAATTTGGCCTGTCAGACAGAAGGGCATTGCAAGTGGCCGTAGTTGAAAGCATGGAGTCAAGAAAGCGTTGCATAGCAGGGGCGTCGGAAGGTAATTTGATGTGGTACGATCAGCCATCTGAAGTACAATTCACGCGCGAGGGAGGGGTGGCTGAGCCGAAATTTCTGGAAATTCAGAGCCCACATCAGTGCATTGCATTGATTCACGGGGTACAGTGAAACCTGTCTAAGGCGACCCCTCAAGGAGTCAAGGGACGAGAAAAAGTGGTCGCCGTGGCCAGGTGGTCTTCTTATCCAGGTTCAGTGGAGCATGTGACCATATCCACATGTGATACATCATTTTGATCAGTGCATCACAGTGCACACACCTATGCTACTCTAGCACGACTCATGTGCCTGGGGTCCTCAGCCCTGTCAAATGTTGTGCATGCACCATGTACATCTACACTTCCTGCACTGATGTGTAGATCTACCATGCCTGGTGCACCATGCCATGCGTACATTTACATGACTAGCACTGTGCAACACGGTCGCGGGTGGGTGGTCGTCGGTCGCGTTGAGCGAGTGGTCGCCTTATCCGAGGTGTTTTGAATGTAAATGCGTCCGGGACAAGGAAAAGTGGTCGCCATGGTCGAGTGGTCGCCATATCCGAGTGGTCGCCATTACAGGTGTTTACTGTACTTTGGACAAAGAGTGGTGCTAGTACGGTCAATAGCGTAGTGCCCATAGCGTGTCCGATACCCCTGTATAGTGTTATCTTCTTACTCGCAATTTGTCGTTACAACCACCTAGCGTCGACTATGAGCAATGCGATGAGTGCACCCAGAGCAGAGCAGCCCGACACACATGCCATTGGTGACTCCTTGTAAAAGTATGGAGTGAAATTTCGCCATACATACCATCACACACACACACGCACACACACACACGCACGCACGCACGCATGCGTGCACACACACACACGCACATACACACACACTTGTACTTGTACTTGTACTTGTTGCTCACTGCCAAAACTGGCCACGTGGGTCTCCCCGGGAGAGGGGAGAGAGACTCAAAAGGAATCTTGGAAAGATGACTCAATTGGCTATTGAACCGCCCAACGGCCGACACCCCCTGAAATCCCCAAAACTCTGGGTGGACTTGAAAATGATCCCACTTATGGGCTCACCACACCTCAGTAAGTGGGTGAGGACAAGGTGCAGAAAAAGGATTGACGGCATCAGGGTATCCGTCCTGGGATCCAACTGCAGGTACCCCTGCCCCCAGTGAAGGTAATACTTGCTACTAGTGTGGGTGGCTAAATCAGAGTGGATCTGATACAACACACACACACACACGCACGCACACACGCACACACACACACACACACACACACACACACACACACACGCACACACACACACACACGCACACACACACGCACACACACACGCACGCACGCACATACACACACACACACCGTTGCCCGATAGCCCTGACATCGGTTTCTACAGGGATACGCCCGGCTATAACACGCGACATCACGGGTAACTGACCTGCATAAGATGGCTGGCCGCAGGGACTTTCACGATACACCGCCTGAGCACCTGGAGATGCACAGTCATGACAACGAGATTGCACAGACAGATGTGAGTGAACGCATGAGTGAGTGCACTCGCACAGACACATACACACACATAAAGTCAACTTCGCTAATACCGACTGCGGATATAACGACGATTCGCGAATAAGGACAGCATTTCCATTCCCAGAGCAAAGTCTTATCTACCTGTTATACCTGCAATGAGACTTCGGGTATAACGACACTTCGGGTATAACGACACTTCGGGTATAAGGACACTTCGGGTATAAGGACACTTCGGGTATAAGGACACTTCGGGTATAAGGACACTTCGGGTATAAGGACACTTTGCGAATAAGGACACTGTTCTGATGCCCCGCCGAGTGTCGTTATACGCAAAGTTTACTGTACACACAATACACAGAGGCAATATGCTTTGCTAATTTGCCAAGGTTTTCATTATGTGCCTTTGTGTACACATAATACTTATGTATACATGCACACACGTACACGTACGCACGGACACACGGTTATGCACGCACGCGCGCGCGCGCACACACACACACACACGGGCCGCACGACCGATAAGCAAAGGGAACATCATGTTTTGACTGTTGTTCTGCACGACAAGATAGCAGAGAACAAAAGCCTTCCCAAGCATGCATGCATGCACGCTTGTGTCTATAACCGATTTTCCCGCCTCCTCGCTTACTTGATGGAGATGAGCGTGACTTGTACATGTCACTGCCATCGGAGGCTGACGATGACGACACACTCTCCTTTGCTACAAGAGAGCCCTGCCTGGAAGTCGACATGGACATGGACGACGAGGACGATGACGGTGATAGAGATAGGGTGGAGGTGGGCTGGCGGGACGGCAGGTTCTGCACGTTGAAATGAGGAGCTCGCGACGGCGTGAACAATGCCGCTGGTACATTGCCGGAACCACCACCACTACCACCAGCAGCAGCACCAACAACAGCAGCAGAGGGTTGTGCTCGCGGTGGCGACGGCAGTGTATCGGCCAGTGGTGGGAACACTACCTTTTCGGGGATGAGCTTTCGGGCGCCTTGCCCGTCGTCAACCGCTCTGACCGGCGGCATTGTTCGCTGCACGGGAGTGACGGGAGTCACGGATGTCTGCCCTGGCGAGAAGTCCGTGGCCGGCGTTGCCGACTGGCGACCCGACGAGTTTGGCGTTGACATGGCCGACCAGCTGCTCATGCTATCGTTGGGCAGACGCGAGGAGCCAGGCCGTGAGAACGGAGACGCGTCGGTGGAGTTGGACGTGATGGACACGCGGTCCGGCTCGTAACCCTCGCTGGGCGAGCTGACACGGGCAACGTATGGCGCTGCGGACAAACACAGCAGATACATGTAACACAACGCGATCATTGTTATAGAAATGACATCATTGTTATAGAAATGACATCATTGTTATAGAAATGACAAAGGATGAACTGCGCACTCATTCTAAACACACAGTCATGAAGGCAAAGTTGGTGGGTTATTTCCGAAAACAGTTTCTTGTGATAGCCATCAGTTGGAATAACACCGCATTGTTGATACGTGAGAAAGTTTTGTCTGAGCATTGGTAGATATCCATGAAACTATGGATACTCAATCTACGGACAGAACCGTTTCGTCCTTTGTGGACTCATCAGCGCAGCACAGAGGGAATGAGGCCGAACCTGATAGCAATGAAAAATAAAAATTTCCAAAGCCAGATTTAAACCAGGCCCGAACGTACCTTGCCAGAGTGCTCGAACTGAAACTATGGATATAAAATATGGGAAGGGGCAAATGTTACGAGTTGTGACCAACTGTACAACAAAGTAACCACATAATACCAGTGTCTGCTCTAGGATTGTAGGACAGCCGGGTACACGTGTACCTGGCGCAACCATTTCAACCGGGTCGGAGCCGGGTACACATGTATTCGACGCGCGCCTATGCATGATCTGTCCCACATACAAGCCATGTACTAGTCCTTTCAAAGTTCGAACGTGTAAAGTACCAACCGGGTCACAGATGACCTGGTACTATATTTTCAACGGGGTCCAAGCGCCGCCCAGCCGGGTCGATTACCCGGCTCACCCGGCTCTGGAGCAGACACTGAATACTATAGTTACCAAGTGGGAGAACAAGGTACAAAACTGACAGGGAATACCCTGAACTTGGTCATAACTTGGTCATAACTCCTAACATTACATGTTACGTTTTGGTCCTTTCTTTTTCTATATCCACGATTACATTGGCTCAACATCCGAGCTAAATCTGAGTAATACAACTTCAGCCTAGTTCCAGCCTAGCTTCAGCCTAGTTTCAGCCTAGTTTCAGCCTGGTTTCAGTCTGGTTTCAGCCTAGTTTCAGTCTGGTTTCAGCCTGCTGGTTTCAGCCTAGTTTCAGCCTGGTTTCAGTCTGGTTTCAGCCTAGTTTCAGCCTGGTTTCAGCCTAGCTTCAGCCTAGTTTCAGCCTGGTTTCAGCCTAGTTTCAGTCTGGTTTCAGCCTGCTGGTTTCAGTCTGGTTTCAGCCTAGTTTCAGCCTAGTTTCAGCCTTGTTCCATTGCTAACTTGTGTCACGGTGATCAAATACAGTCATGTACATGTACAGTGGGTCTTTGAGACAGTGAGGTGGAAACCGCGGACGCGCAGTGAAGTTAAAATGACAACCGTACTTTCGCCCCGCAAACATACGGTACGTTTGTAGGGTCATGATAAACTGTGACAATTAAATTACGGGCAACCCCCCCCCCCCCCCCAAAAAAAAAGAAATGAGTGCGGGACTGTCATTCGTAATTCTGACATTCATCATTCCACTACGATCTTTGGACAAAACATGCATACACACACGTGCCAATGCACGCACAGATACGTACGCATGCATACGCACGCACGGACGCGTACGCACGCACGGACACGTACGCACGCATACACGCGCACGCACACACACACATACACACACACGCCAGCACAGGCTAAATTTAATAGTTAGTTACCTGGCGCGTCGGTTGGCGCTTTCTGCTTCTCAAACTCGCGGCACAGCTTTTCTTTGAGCTTGGGATAAGCTCTGTTCTTGATACAATAGCGCACAAAGCACTGGTAGGCAGTAATGTTACCCAAGTTGAACTTCTGATAGCAAACCAAGTCCAAAAATCGAGTGTTGAGCTCGTCTCGCGTCGGATGGCCTCTCTTGATGGCCTCCTTCTCCTTGGGATCGATGATTTTCTCCTGCTGGAAGTACATGAGCATGTGGCTGGCGTCGATCGTGTCGCTGATGGTCGAGATCAGCGCCTGCATGGCCGCCTGCTCACACGCGACGATTTGGTCCTCGTCGAGCTCTTGTGAAGACGATGACATTTTCTGGACACGAGCTGGCTGCACTGCTGCACCCGGTTGAACTGATCTGCTCGATCTGCTGGACTAAACTAAAGCGAATAACGCCAAGCACGGAATGGATACCCTGCAGTTGTAGTCTACTCCGTACCACATATGATACGACGTGCGGACAAGGGAGATAGCGGAGGCTAGCCTAGAGGGCATCAGCTAGGGACCAGACAGCCTCTTCTTTCGTTCTGAAAGAGTCCGAGCTGAGCTGAGTGCGCGATGACTATCCGGTATCGCTAAACCAACTGTTACTTACTTGGCTCCCTATATATTATCTCTCTCTCTCTCTCTCTGCTAGCGGAGCTGAGGATAAAGGCGACCAATCTCCAGACAGATTCAAGATACTCCACTCCCGCCTAGCAGTGACTGTCAGTGTCCCATAAAATCTGTGGCGCTGTGGACTGAAAATCCTGGCCTGATGAACCAGCTCAACCAATCCGAATCGTTTTCACCTTTTTCTGTTGACATCTGCAAGAACAAAGCAGAGAAGGTATGGATCGCTCTCCAGTCTACAGCTGTTCGGGATTATGAAACGCCCAACAAAAAATACACTGCAACGACGACAGAAGTCTGAAGCCAAGCGAAGCGTTTGCAGTGTCTTATGCGGAATGTCAGATGGAGCGATTTGTTTCGCAGCACCTCTGACTAAGCTTGATCGCTTTCTATCAGGCTTCTGACCTCGAAGGACTAGCAGCTTGTAGCTACAAGTAGGAAGATCTCAGATGAACAACGCGCAGCCGAAGATTAGAAAACAGTTTTTTGTTCGCACCATAGGCTTCACATGATACACTATGTACGTACCTGAGTCCTTGGTATATGTAGAGCTCCTTGCGTTTTCACACTGAATCACAGGGTGCGCGATCAGTGGGGAAATACCGCGTGCATGAATCATCCGCAAGGGAAATCCGTGCATGATGACCGGTAATACTCCCCTACGTAGCTACCGTGACTCGTCATCATGCAGACGCGACCGTGTAATGTAGACTCCACATGTCATGACCATGATCATGATGATGACCGACCTATTCATTTTGTAGTCTGTCCGATTCGGGGCCGGGCAAGCTGCTTTTCAAGTCTGGGCCGTCAGCTGATGCAACCGAGCTCCCCGTCGACACTCCCAGCGGTTTCATTCTCCCTGCAACAATCACCAGATCACAGTGGCTATCAACCTCCCTCCCCGTCGTCCAAAACAACAATCACGACATTGTAGTACCCAAGAGTCAAAATTCCGCATGTTCACCACGACCAATCCATGCATCTCTGCACGAAAATAGCGGATCAAGCAACGTTTTGCTAGAAGTGCTGTCTCCTCGGATGACATTCACAGGGTTTCTGCGAGGGTACAGAAGACGCGATCTCTCACGATGTTGAGATTGAGAATACAACGTACTTGTACATTGCGAACCGTCCCTTGCCTTGGATTGAAAACTCTGCAATGAATGCATGTCTGTGAGCTGGTGCATCTTGGCTGGCATGCTAAGCACACGTGACGTCCATCAAGCCCATCGTTCACAATTCGGCGAAATACAAAAGACACTCGTCTTGCTGCTCGACTCAATCTCTTCTGGACACTCGTTCTTGTTACAGGGGCCTTCCCTTACACCTACTACGCACTGTATTACTATACATGTACATGTTCAGTTGTTGGCTGACAGCATGTAACAAGATGGAGACGACCGCGTTCGGAAACGGTCATCTTTATTCTTACTACTACTACTACTACTACTACTACATTGTATTACAACCTCCGTGGTCATGGTGGTTAGTGGCGCCTCGGCCTTCACGACAATCTGAACAGTATGGGTGTAGTAAGGTGACTGTGTTTCCGAACACGGTGGTGGTCTCCCACCTTGTAACATGCTGTAAACCAATAACATTACATGTTTCAACAAAACAAAACCAAAAAAAATAAAAAATTCACGGTTCGCGTGAGACTCGGCTGGAAGCCGGGTTTTCCGCATCCGTAGGAACGCCACCACCCTTCAAGGATCAAGGCGCAGATGCAGCTCCTAAAGCGGTGGGAGGTGAGTAGATCAGCTCACCAGCAAGTGGTCAAAGACCGAAAATCCCATTCACTGCATCCATGTTTTCCTCGTGCCAGCACAAAACAAAAGTTTATCTATAATACCATGACATGGAAATGTTATTAGACAAGTAGTACAGTAAAAATCAAGTGAAACCTTCACATACATTTATAATAATTATGTACTATATGTAGACAACGTGTCTGGAGTCTTTGCTGAAAATACAATAGTGCTCAATAACTCAAAAAGGCCAGAGCTTACCACACAGGGCAGAACAACAGAGACCAAAAATCCTTCTCGTGACTCCGAGTTTCGTGTTTCAAAAAACACTCATCAAACGATGCCCTGTTTGTGTCATGTACATTTAATACCGGTATGTAGATTGCAGCAGATGTTTGATGGGTGTCACGTAATATCATGGTTATAGCCACTGATTGGTAGAGTCCAGCGGATAATGCCGGCATTATATTCGGCATTATGAGACTATCCGAGCATCAGAGCATTATGGAGCATTAGAAAGGAACATGACGAGCATTATGTGAGGTTTCAGCGGCATAACGAGTTCCATAGTGGATAATGTCGGGAAATATAAGGTTTCTGGCAACAATCGGTTAAAGCCATGAGGTGCAACACCATGTATTGTACCGGCACATAACTTTGTGATTTGTAGACACTTAACACATTTAGCGCTAATGCTACATTTACCTGACTTCATACATGTAATGCCATTGCTACATAAAGTCTTTATGTCAGGTAAATGTACAGGTGATGTAGCATGCCCAACGTTGCAACTGAGGCTGTTACACAATATCCGGAACGATGATTTACTAGGAGTTCTTTTTTAGAAATCATGGAGAGCCATGGAGGAGACTAGACGTACGCGAAGTGAATATCAAAGAGACGAAGAGGAGTTTTCCTGTTATGCCATAGGCTCTGACCATAGCATATCTCTAGCGATACTGAAGAAAGCACTCATCTATTGATAAATTTGGACCTAGATGAAGGAGCGGCTATATACAGAAAGAGCTTGTTCCAAATAATTGCCTTTGCCGAGTCCAGATCAGCAGGCTCGAAAAGAACTAGAATTTCTCATGGACGCATTACCAAGACGATTTGAGTGCTCAGCAGCGGGTGTCTTACTTTCCTGGTGAAGCACGTACAGTTCGTCGTGGACGATTGTAATGCAAGGCCTACAGTCAAGTGCTATCAGAAAAGAAAAGTATTGTGGCCAACCATTTGTCTCCACGCAACCTCAGGAGAAGAAGACAGCGCAAGAGGATGTAGAGCGGTAAAACAACTTCTGACCATGTGTTTTCAGGATTTCCGCAAATGGGAGGGATCTCGATCTGAGATCGTTTGTCGACTGGCTTCACTTGAGCTGTTTCAGATGAAGACTGGCATTTTTCACGGAGTGGAAGCAGTGACATCTTGTCTGCAGGCAGGAACACCACTTCCCATGATATGCTTCCAGCATCCAAATGACCACCAGCAATAATGGTTTCACTTCTCACTACATGGATAAGCAAGGGAAAAGATTTGATACACCCACTATTCAGCCACAGCCCTGCATGAAAGTTGGAGTGGAGAGCAACCAATGGAGACTCGATCCAGTCGTATAGTGCTAAGAAGTGGTGGAGCTCATGAGAGATACATGTATTGTAGCAGCTTCAGAGGCAGATCGACTAAATGCGTCCTTTCCTGGAAGTTTGACAATGTGCAGCCTTCCTTCCATTTTTTGTTCCAAAGCAAGAGCATTATAGCTAGCCTTGTTGAAGCATTATAGCTAGCCTTGTTGAAGCATTATAGCTAGCTAGGCACCGGCGGATAATGCTAGTTATATGAGGAAATTGTGCTACTAGCACTGCTAGTTATTTGGAGCGATTATGCTAGTTATAATGCTAGCAGTGCCGACATTGTCCAAACTGTGGGACACGCATTTGACATCAATGACTTGTGGGTAGAGAAGTTCCTGCATACTCCGTACTGCTACTCCATTAACAGCGGCACCGTCACGGACCACAGCGAGCACTTTCCCAGAAGACAGTTGAAGTTTTGTAGATAGGACAGTGATCAACTCCCGTGACAACTCCAGGCCTGCCAGACTCTTTGCCAGTACATGGAAGCGAACAAGTCTCTGATGAATCTTGAAATCCGCATCCACATACCGCAGAACCACTGCAAGTGCCTCTCCCAGGCGGGAAGTTCCATCAAATATGACAGCCACATACGGTGCACCTGATATCTCCTTCTTTAATTCATCTTCCTCCTTGCAGTGCAGGAATGGAATCAGCTGAGCCATGTGAGTGCTATAATTATGTTAAACGTCCGTAACCACTCTCCAGGAGAGGGCGCAGGTAATCCACCTTACAGAGCGGAATTTCAGCCTTTAAGAAAGCCTCAACAACGTTGGCCCGCCGAACAACAACATCTTCGGACACAGCTTGTGACAGACCGCTTCCCGCCAGGTCAGACGTGCTTTCACTTGAAAACTTTTTCCACGAAATAGTTATTGCCTGTTGGTGAAGTTTCGCCCGCTTCTTACTCTCCTTTCCTTGCACATGTCGTTGGCTATTCACATGCGCTTTCACAATGCTGTGCTTGATACTGATCGTCAAGTTACAAGCTGTGCAGTAGAGTTTCCCCGCAGAAACTGAGAGGTACTCGCCTGGGAATTCTGCTATCCGATCGTGGGTGCTGCGTCGAGGAGCTGCGGTGGATTTCCCAGCTGACACTCTCACGCGCTTTGCTTCGGAATTCTGGCTCGAGTCGCTCGACTTTCCACTTCTTGCAAACGACTTTTTGCGGGCAATAGCAGCTGGTTGTGCTGCTGGAAGACTGTCGGCTGCCGCGTTCTTTTCCAAGTCAGAGCTTCCCTCTTCGCTAACAAAGCCATCACTCTCACTGCTCTCATCTTCTGTTTCAAAACCAGAGCCTCCGTCTCCCGTAGCTGCCATCGGGCCAACAAATTACGACAAGCTACGACAGTACAACTAGTTTGCTCACTTATAGCGAAGGACTCACCACTTTTATAATTAATTTCACTGTCAACAACGACTCAACATGCTAAAGTTGAAGGCCAAAATAATTACAAACTACCGTTCTTACTTGGAAAAGACTCGCCGTATCATTGACATTGAACTTCAAGACAAGCATTGCATATAATAATTTGGAAATCAAATTTGCAAAAAGTGTGCACAATGCTATATTTAGCTCCAAGTACAAGTCAGTGCAGTTTGAACAACTCCGTAAACGCAGCAAACCAGCATACACTTTCATCTGGACGTAGTGCTAGTTTCACACATCGATATCGCGATTGTGCTACACAAGGTCACATTTGGAGGCTTTATGCTAGGGCAGTGCCGGTCTTCCCCACATGGGTCATTATGCTAGTTATTATGCTAGCATTATCCGCCGGTGCCTATAGCCTTGTTGAAGCATTATACAGATCAGCATTACAAGGTAGTTTTTGGTGCATTATGATTAGCATTATACGAACATTTTCGGAGCATTATCCGCTGGACCCTACTGATTGGTAAGAATGGGTGGACGAAATACGTGGGCAGCTTTAAACTTTTGGTTTACTTTCGGAGAATCCCTCGGCCGTAATTGGTGATGCTAGCACTGATTGTGAAAAGCCTCTTGTACGGACGAAGCAAATGAATCAAATGACACAATTATTAGTCCAGTTTGAAAGTGGGAAAAGTCGATTTAAGAAGGCCGTCTTGGATCAGGGCCAAAGCGTAGAAGAAAAAAACTTTTAAAAACATCAGTGAGCATGTTGTCTGAAACAATCCACTGAGAAGGTTGATTTGCAACGTCAAGTCTGCGGACGAAGCCGGACGGGTTCAGATGCACGATTTTCGGAACTGGACCTAGCCAGCTTCATGCATGACACCGTTGTCGACCGGCAATTATGCTTGTAATGCCAATTTTGCATGCGAAATGGTGTTATAAATTTAAAATGCCAGCATTATGCCACCTGGAAAAAAGGGACTATAATGCCAGGCATAACGCTAGCATTACCGGCCCATGCCTAGTGGCAGCTGGAGGTAGAAGACGAGGCGTAGAGCCTAGGCTAGAGGTTTACAATGGCTCTACGCGGTCAGTAGATCTTTACTCTTTTAGTTTTTGGTTTACTAGTATCATGGATTCTTTGGAAGTACATGTACATGATGATTGTACATGCAGTTCATCGGCGCAGTCCTGTGGAACCAGCTCCCGCCTGATCTCCGTTCCGAGCCCAGCCACCTTCAGTTCTGTGCCCTGCTAAAAGCGCATCATGGCTCCGTTTAAATGCTTTTCGGCTAGTGTGTTTCTGTGGTATAGCGGACTGAAGAATAGTAAACGTGTTTTGCAATATATGTATGAAGCAATTTTGTATATAGTATGTTCCCATTCCGTTTTTGCTTTGGTGTAGCCCTGAGGTTGATTGCTTATTTATTTCTACCCTTCCTCTCTCCATACTTCTGTCCCCCCCCCCCCCTCTCTCTCTCATTCCTTCTGTCGTCCACATGTATCAAAGGAGGCGAAATCGCCTGTTTGTGGTGCGACGTTAAATAAACTTCTACAACAACAACCTCAGACCTGCCCATCGCGGAAGCGATGATAGCGAACAGCTATGTTAGACATAGCGACTTGTGCTGGGATTACACCATTCAACAGCTTGCAAGGCTGATGAATTGACCGCCACTAATTTTAGCCTGCTATCCACCACACAGCTGATTCAAGTGGCTTATTCTGGCCAGTGAATCCAGTAGTTGGATCATGGAGTGTGTCATGTCGCGACGTCGGCGCCTCGACACTGAAGGCGTCAGTGAGAGATTTTCAGAAGCTCATCATGATCGAGTAATCGATCAGACAGAGTCATGCAAATCTCGCGCGTACATGACTGACTTTGAGTTTGAATCGTTTGATTGCTAGTCCTAGTAGTAGGGCAGGGGCGTGCTCGGCCCCCCAACTAGGGGGGTGCACGGGAGCCGAGGGGAGCCCCCCCCCCCGGCAATTTTCTGCAATTTGTTTGCAACCTTTCTTGAATTTTAGAGCATATTTGCATACATTACAATTGCCTTGGATCAGATTGAAAAATTTTGGGGGTGCACGTGCCCCCCGTGCCCATCGCCGAGCACGCGCCTGTAGGGCCTGGTGTAATACATGTATGCCCGAAACTAACTTTAATAAATACTTAAAGTCTTTGCCGAAAATGCTTTTGGGAAATTCTCGTAAACCTTGCCGAAAATGCTCGGAAAATGCTCACTTTTTGTAATCCTCAGCACACGCCGTCAAAAGACTCAAAACCAGGGAGTCAGAAAACACCGGTATTTTGCGACTCCCTGGTCAAAACCATTATTTTCAATTCATACATGTAAAGTTTAAAACTACTCAACAAGAAACTAACGTATAACCTACGGAATGCGGAAGTGACGTTCTTGTTTGGGAAGTTTTTCTTCTCTCAATTTTGATACACAACGCCAACGGCCAAGTGCTCCGTTTCCCCCAAAATGCTGCATCACGAGGCCAAATTTGCAAAGTGCTAGTGCAGTGCTGGGTAGGCCTTGACGGATTATGCTAGCATAATTTTTCGCATAATTCCTGCCAAAATCGAATAGTCGCATTATTCGAGGCAAATTCCATACGAATCGCATAAAATTGGAATAATCCGCCTGTTCGCATCAAATTCAGCCCTCACCAACGCTGTACAAAGCGTCACTGGCCCGTTTCTCAACGGTCGCGCTAATCGACCAATCAGCGTACAGCTAATGTACCAAAATTCTCAAACTTACCGTAATTCCTTGGTTCATACGGTGTAGTTTGCAAAGATTTTTTATGGACCAACGTCTTCTTTCGATAGATACCAACAGATCGTCCGCTTCGAATTTTTCGATTTGATTGCTGTTTGGCCGAAAATTACCTCCGAAACCGGCCTCCACTCGTTTCACTTCAAGGCTTTACAGGTGGACGGCATCGCAATTCGGAAGCGGAGAAAGGATAGCCAGTGAAAAAAGAAAAACAACGACGTATTGGTTGTCAAAATCGACCAAGAAATGAATTCAATAGACCCGTTTCCGTGCTGCGCCCTCGCGGCCCGCGCGAGTGCGAAAGGGATTCTTTCTCGACAAAACAAACAACAACTACGCGCAGTACATGCAGGTGCTTTTTGCAGTGCAGTACACTGACATCACTGCACTGGCTGTATATACCTTAGGAATATCCTGTTCTTTTCCAAGGCATGATTGTCGCTAGTGGGAGAACTCAGCCACCTGAAGTTTCATAAAGGAAGAAGTAGTAGGTGAATGAGTTCGCCAGAAAATGAAACGCCAAGAAAATAGATACTGTTGCTTTCGGGCGCTCATGAGACGACGGCAAGATAGGACTGAAACGATTGACAGTCTGCCTCGACGCAAAAGAAACTCTTCTAGGAGAAGCTCGACGTGCTGTAGAGTTTGCAGTATTCTGCTGGAAGAAGACAAGAGAACTAAACTCAGACTACAGCGTGGAGCTGAAGCACGAGCGCGAGCGAAGCAAAAGCTGAAGCAAAAGCTGCTCGGAAGCAAAAGCTGAGCGAGTTCGAAGAAATGGGGAAACACAGGAAAATGAATGGGCGACATGATCTTTAGCTCGAAGCTCGCGCTAAGACACGCGGTGGGCACGTGCGACTACGGGTAGCGCGGCTAGCCTAGCCAGCCACCATGTTTTCAAAATGGAGGTCGACGCTTTTGAAATCCGTGTAGACGATGGTGAGGGCTGAAATTCCATACAGTTGTACATGTTCTACAAGTACAAGTGCAAGTAGATGCACTAGGACGTTGTAGGTTTATGACTCCCTTGATAACATGTCCAGTCCACTACAATCAGTGATGGTCGTAGCTAGGTCGGACGGTGCGTTGACCCCGTTGAACTTTTGCTACTACAGTACAACGCCCTCTACAAAAAAATTCCCTTGTTATTTTGCACAGAACCATTATGCATTAGCAGCATATGTGAGCATAATGCGGCATAATTATGATAACTTTTAGCATAAAAATAGCATAATTCTGCATTTTTTTCAGCAATGCGAAAAGCATAATTTCACGAAAATATTAGCATAATCCGTCAAGGCCTAGTGCTGGGTTCGCGGATTGTACCGAAAATGCTAAAAAAAATGCCGACACGGGGCCGGCCTAGCAGTACAGCCTACACTACAGGCTAGCACTAGCAGCTACATGACGTAGATCTACTACATGACTACATACAATCATGTGTACAACACTAGTCATGCCAGTCCGCTGAGCTCATGAGCTGAGGACTGAGAGTGAGACACTAGACGGACGGATATGCGGATTGTGCGCCGGCAACTGCGGACGCGCGTCGACGACGGCACGGAACTACTACTACAGAAAGTGGATTTGAAAAAAGAACTCGTGGTTGGCCTCGTCCCCTCTCTTCTTTGCGCTCGTTCTCTTGTACTACCAGTAGTTGTTGTCGCGGTGTGCGAAACTAACTTGTGGGTGGTTTGCTCTGCAGTTGTGGGGCAGGTTTTCTGTTCGTCTCCTACGCCGGTCACAGGCTTTCCATAGCTGCTGCCAGGATGGGCAACATTGTCGGAGGTCCGCTCAACGAGGCGAAACAACAGGAAATCAAAGGTAGGAAACAGCAGCTGAATTTTTTTTGGCACACGTCCACCCTCGAGGCCTCCCACTCATCTTGATGGAGATTTCTTCTCCGTTATTATTATTTTTTCTCTATTTCCTGTTCCTGTCCGCGTATGGCCGACTGGAGCTGTGTGCATTGTCGAGCCAGAACTAAGGCCCACCCTGAGGCTCAGCTGAGGCTCATGCTCACCTGATTCGGGACAACAATCATGTACTTTTTAATAGTGATGCGCGTCGCGCGCAGTGCGTGTTGTTTGTTGACTCGCATGTTGATTGTTGCGAGGCATATGTGGCCTTGTGGGTGTTTTTGCTACCATACCGCGTACCGGCATATTTCCAGGTCGGAAAGGCTGGCAGCTTGTTGTTCACCATGTTTACCCCCGCCGCGTAGGCACATCTGCACAGCTAGCCCGCGGATAGTGTTTTTACTTATTTATTTCGTCTACTTGGTACCTAGCCTAGGTATGAACGTTACGTAACACATACGACTCGCCCCGGACTGGGAGAGAAGTTATTGTCCTGCTCTTGCTTTGATTGTGTTCGCGACTTGCGGCGCAGCATCAGCAACCTAAGTCCTTGCATTCGCTCGTGGCTTTTACCTGTTGTGATACCTAACCTGTACGTCCTGGACCTAAGTCACCTTACAGTACGTTGGTCTTTGGAAGAAAGTCAGCCACGCAACAGCGGCGGAGCCTACATCTCCTGGGCACAGTAGCAACAAAAATGCAGTTTCGATTTGACGCCAAAGCCAATGGAACTCGTCGCAATGCAGTAGCCGCTCCTTCATTACTTCCGTACGTGATTGTAGTCATAGTTGATTACTTACGCCGATTGCAGGCAGCAGCGCAGACGACGAAACACACGATTTTGTTATTGTAGTGAGTCTGTCCTAGAAGAGCACTGCTAGTGCAACGTGTCGCTGTGCCGAATTTATTATTTTCGCCTGAGCCCCTTTCCGCTTTCGTAAGTCCAGAGTACTCGTACTCCGTACTTGAAAGTGCCCGCCGGCGGCGAGCCGGGCTTCGTTCCAGAAGTCCTCTCCGAGTCTCATGAATCACTGCACCTGAGCTGAGGCTGGTGGTGTCGTCTGCAGCAGTCACTTAGCTCTGAAATGCAAGTGGCTCTTCCGCAAAAAGGACTTCAACACTTGCATTATTTGTTGCCTGTGCTGAATGTTACTGGTAAGTGGTAGTAGTAACTCTACTACCTAGTAATAGGGATGTCAGCGAACGCACTGCGCAGGCCTCTGCGCATGCATTGCGTCATCGATTTTTTGAACGTGATCGCGGCCGACAGAGAAAACATGGCCGCGGTCTGTTTGCACCGCTGGGAGTCGTAAAATTACTGTTCTTCTGTCCCCGCGACCATTCAAATCATACGCGATACAGGAGGACCCACGAGCTCACCACGTTCTCCCCGGTCGATTTCTCTGAAAGTTTGCACATCGTGAAACACCAGTATGAGAGGTGTTCAGGCCAATTTTCAAGGGATTACCCTGGTTGGATCGTTCCAAAATCGGACTTGCATTTCTCGCTCGCGGCCATTTCTTGCGCGATGGAAGCGCCCTGCCTTGGTGAGTAACCAGCGTCGCGCTTGGTAGAGAGTTGCTGCAATCAGCTCCCTGATGTCTTCGCTGCCATTGTCAGAAGCGATGGGCCCGGAATTTGTTTGAGAGTCTCTGGATGCTACTTTTCCTCAGCCTAGTTTTCAGCCATTCCGTGCATCTTCTTCGCACGATTTATTTTGCAAAAAAATGAAAGGGTTCATGAGTTTTTTTGTCGGCCGCGCGTAGATGGGCCAGGCTGACCTGCGCAGATGGGCTGCGCAGTGCGTTCGCTGATATCCCTACTAGTAATATTAGTAGATCCACTTGCCAACACTCAGCTATGCTCTGTGTCCTTTGCTTGATTGCTTCATGAATCAACTATTTTCATAGGAAAGGAGTCTAGAATATAGGCCTCGTTTAGGCTGTAACCACACTACGTAGAAAACCGCTTTTTTGTTGCTTTCCTGTAAAAGTTGTCATGCCGACTGACGTCATATGGCACGAAATCTAGAAAGTTGCGTAAACGTTTTACTCAGATCTCGGACGGGTGTAGAAGGCTGCTTTTTAGCTTTTTAGCTTTTATGCCTTCCCGCGCTTTCGGACTTCAACTTCTTGTTGGTGTTTTTGCTGTTTGGTGCTGTGTGGATTTTTGTGTTTCAATTTCAGCTGTCCATTGGACTTTTCGCCTGCTTCTGAAATTCTCGTACTTGAACTCCTGTTGTTCAAGCCGTAGTAGACTCGATCTTGTTTGCTTGCTGAGCGCGCGACACGATGCCGAAAATCCAGTGCACAGAAGAAATGGAGGCGAAGCTCATGGAGCTGTGGGCGATATATCAAAAAAACAAGGCGTTCCAAACTCGTTCTCAGGGTGAGCTGTCCACAAGTTGCGACCAATTCTGTATTTGACGGTACCATTCCGCAACAGCATGAGCATCGTCGTGACCATGAAATTTGAGCAACTGTGATCAGTCATCTAGAAAATATCAAGAACAGGACCGCCATCAGACAACTTCACTAGCTTCTGCAGGTCCTGCAATATCATGGCGGCAACAATTTTATGTCGCCGCTTTCTCCTTGCCGGAGTCAACCTGAGCTCCATGGACATGGCTCCAACACAAGATGCAGAACGAAATCGAAGAAGCACACACAGCACTCGTTCTGAGAGCAGAACTTTTCATCCGAACTGCAACACATGTACGTAAAAAGCAGATCACCTGTCAGTGTGCAACTGCACTTGATCAGGATGGCGCATACGCAACGTTAGTTGCGTTTTACATGTAAGTAGTGTGTAAGGGCCCTTAGGCTGTAGCCACACTAGGTACAAAACTGCGTAAACGCAACTTTTTGTGCTTATGTCGTCAAGGAACCGCGTGCGAAATGCAAAACTTGCATTTTTTTCAGCAAACCAGGTGCCCCTGTAGAAAGCAACTTTTCGCCTTTTCCTTGCGTTTCGCTCGGTTCCTCATACGCCCCTGCTTGTGTACATCTTCTGCAGTTGAAGAAGAACGTTTGTAGTGCATAGACATAGGCAAGTGTTCACCCGGCGACATGTTTTCAGTCCATCTTTTTCTTGCACTCTCAAGAAGTCTTCATCTTGACGTTGCAGTTTGAAAATGCACTGCACTCCATTGCCCAAACAATAAACGGACCACAATGAATCATCAGGCCGGTGGAACAGCAGATCATGACCGCTATATCAGGGGCGTCGGAAGGTATTTTAGGGTGATATGGTCAGCCACCTGAAGTACAAGTTACTCGTAGAGTTGGGATGTCTCCTCTGAAAACTTTCGAAATTTAGAGCTCAAATCAGTGCCCTTTATCCATTCACAGGGTACCCGGTGCAAATAGTGGTGTGACCGTAGCGTGTCAGACACCACTTTATATGCTTCAGTTCTGGTGATATTATCGCTCTCTCACCTACAACAGCAGTGCATGCTGCAGACGTGCCAGGCCGAAAACAACACTACAGACTTTCCTCTTCGACTGCGCACGTGTGTAGATGTGGTGTTGGACTGGCTGTAGATCTGCTGCCGGCGTGTGCGGAGAGTTCCTCAAAGCGAATTTGATGGTGTGAGTCAGGTGCGTGCCAGTCTCAGTGCAGAGCCAGACCTGTGAGCACCGGGGCTGTGCCCTCAGGTGCAGTGCATTGTACAGGGCACTGTGCAGTGCCAGACCTACAAACACCAGGCTGTGGACTGGGGAAGGGTGGTAGATAGTGTGTGACGTTGAGTGTCAACATGCAGTATGGTGTTAAAGGAGAGAATTGTATCCTTGGTGATATATTTTACACAACATGTGGCACACACGTCACCAAACAGTATTGCAAAGCTGAAATAGAATCCTGCCAGTTGACGAAGGGCTGCTGACCAGGAGAAAGCAGGTCATTCAATTCAAACTGGCCTACTTGCAGACACTACGATAACTGAACGCTGTGCTGTTGTATTCTGTGGCTGCATCGCATGCGTGCCTGTGCTGTGCAGAACTGATCGAGGCTGTGCTGCTGCAGTTCACGGAACAGTACGCGCTGTAGCACTTTAGCTGAATGCTGTACTGTTGTGTTGTGTGTCTGCATCGCATGCGTGCCTTTGTAGAACTGATCGAGGCAGTGCTGCTGAAGTTCACGGAGCAGTACACGAAGGTTTACGCCGTAGCCCTGCTGGACAAGGTGATAGAGGAGATCTCGGAACAACCGGAGGAATGGCAACTGCTCGAGCGGCCAGAGGTAAGCTCCAGCACCATGTTTAATCCGGCATTTATTTATTTATTTATTCATTCCCTGTCTACAGTTCAGTTCATGGTGTAACCCGTGTACTCTCAGCAATCAAGGCATTCGGGCTACCGTGTACTATCTATGTGATCACAAATTACGTGTTATGAAGTAGCCATGCTACACTGACACCTGATGAAGTACACAATACAAGGAGGTGAGGATGAATGCGACCACGGACCGAGAGCAAAGATGCAATTAGAAAGGAAAAAAGTCACGGTTCGCGTGAGACTCGGCTGAAAACCGAGTATTCCGCACCCGCATCTGTAGGAACGCCACCACCCTTCAAGGATCAAGGCGCAGATGCAGCTCCTAAAGCGGTGGGAGGTGAGTAGATCAGCTCACCAGCAATGTGGTCAAAGACCGAAAATCCCATTCACTGCATCCATGTTCTCCTCCATTAGAAGGAAAGAAACGAAGAAAAATATACACATCGGTACAGACTGGGGCGTTAACCCTTTCACTGCCAGCTGACCACTCAAGGTGACAAGGCGCTCCCTGCCAGGCTGTCAGCTGAGCTGTACACCCCCTCCCTGCCAGGCACTTTTTGCCTCCAGCTCGAAAAATCGAAAGGCCAACTTCTCATGGATTTTTTGGTACTTTCTGTACGGAATATCGCTTTCCAAAGTATACATCGTAGGTAGACAACTCATAAAGGAAGCCATTGCCGTCGAAAAAAATCGCAAAATCCGAAGTACAACCGTGCTGGGCGCTCCAGCGCCAGCCGCTGTGCAAAAATGCATGTCATGTCATGCGAAAGTGCGGCGTGCGCCGCATGCGCTACATACACTATGTACACGATCGGCCCGGACACTCGCGAAGTAAAATTAGTTGTTGTTTTGGAGAGAGAAGCAGATCCTTTTTTTGTTAGCTGGGATTGAAAGATCTGCCAGTGGACCGGAGAGCTACAACACTGGAAGCAGAAGAGATGGCGTGCGGAATGTTCTCTGTCTTCGTGGCAACAGGACTTCAGTTGCGAGAGACTTTCGTCCTGTTGTTGCGGACGAAATTCTAGTTGCTGCCACCAGAAAACTCGGAGAACGAAACGATCGTAAGTCGTTTGGTGAAGCAGATCGTGTCGGTGAACAGCTGCGGAATGTTCTGCCGCCATGGTGGTCGTTTGTTCTCCTGACTAGCAGCAGTCCGAATACATTTCGACTTCGGAGAGTGAAGCGCTTCCCTGTTCCGTTGACAAGCGCGGCGTTCGCGGGTGTAATGCACTTTCGCATCAGCTTGCAGTAGATCGTCAGGTATTGAGCTTGAGGTAGGTGTCGTTGTAGAAAGAATATAATTATGTTGTAGCTGACATACCTGTAGTGTCTCTTGACTGTGCTGGTCGCCATTGTAACGTGGTAGTTCTTAGAAAAGTTTAGTTCTGGACTCGGTGAGCGCCGCCAGCGCTGTTTCCGCCAAGCTTGCAGTGAATGCGTCCGTGAGGAATCCGTCGTGTGGTTGTCTCTACCCGTGACTCCAACCGCCTATCCCAATGGATAGCCGCCTGGAGTCTTGGGTAATGGCTAGGCATCAAGTCTGAACCAAATGTCATGCTCCTTGCAATGAAAGTTTACGGGAAAGAGAAAAAAACTGGCACCGACTCAGGAAGGTGGAAGTGCGTGAGAACCGATTTCTTCCGCGCCGCTCGGCTAAAAATCAGATGCGCATTTTTCAACGACGCTGGTTCGATTTTTTCAAATGGCAACCCATGCTTCTGGCAGCGTATTTCGATGGGTATGGACCTCTTCTAGGGCCTAGTGGCCCTCTACCACGGCCAAACATCTCCAATAGTCAAAAATAGCGACCCAAACTGGGTGAAGTCTGCCTGTCGACAAAAGTCGTCGACAAAAGTCGACGGTGGCACTGGGGACTGCATGTTTGCTTGTCGACTTTCGTCGACAGTGGCACTCAGAGTGCATGAATGCGCTGTCGACTTTCGTCGACAGTGGCAGTGAAAGGGTTAAAGAGCATGGTGGTGAAATGACAGAGCTATTTTTGGTTACGTGTCATTACTGGCCATGTTGGCTGGTCACGTTGCAGAAAGGAGCGAAGAAAGCAATAATTATTGATGGAGGCTGGATGTGGATTTTCGTGTCCTTTTGAATCAGTCTGAGCGCGCTATTGTTGTGTATTGTATTGACAATGCAGGGTTTAACCTGGGTTATTGTATTGACAATGCAGGGTTTAACCTGGGTTATTGTATTGACAATGCAGGGTTTAACCTGGGTTATTGTATTGACAATGCAGGGTTTAACCTGGGTTATTGTATTGACAATGCAGGGTTTAACCTGGGTTATTGTATTGACAATGCAGGGTTTAACCTGGGTTATTGTATTGACAATGCAGGGTTTAACCTGGGTTATTGTATTGACAATGCAGGGTTTAACCTGGGTTATTGTATTGACAATGCAGGGTTTAACCTGGGTTATTGTATTGACAATGCAGGGTTTAACCTGGGTTATTGTATTGACAATGCAGGGTTTAACCTGGGTTATTGTATTGACAATGCAGGGTTTAACCTGGGTTATTGTATTGACAATGCAGGGTTTAACCTGGGTTATTGTATTGACAATGCAGGGTTTAACCTGGGTTATTGTATTGACAATGCAGGGTTTAACCTGGGTTATTGTATTGACAATGCAGGGTTTAACCTGGGTTATTGTATTGACAATGCAGGGTTTAACCTGGGTTATTGTATTGACAATGCAGGGTTTAACCTGGGTTATTGTATTGACAATGCAGGGTTTAACCTGGGTTATTGTATTGACAATGCAGGGTTTAACCTGGGTTATTGTATTGACAATGCAGGGTTTAACCTGGGTTATTGTATTGACAATGCAGGGTTTAACCTGGGTTATTGTATTGACAATGCAGGGTTTAACCTGGGTTATTGTATTGACAATGCAGGGTTTAACCTGGGTTATTGTATTGACAATGCAGGGTTTAACCTGGGTTATTGTATTGACAATGCAGGGTTTAACCTGGGTTATTGTATTGACAATGCAGGGTTTAACCTGGGTTATTGTATTGACAATGCAGGGTTTAACCTGGGTTATTGTATTGACAATGCAGGGTTTAACCCTTTATGTACCAGCCCCATCTCGAACCGTACCATATGGTACGGTTCGCTGCACTCCAATCAAGCGCGCCGTTCCCCGCCGCCGTAGCTGCGATCGACCCGCGGTTTTTTGCGCTTGACAGCTGAGATCCCACTGAAAATTTTGATGTATGATATGGGTAGGTTGCCATTTGAAAGTATGGAGAACGAACGCGTTCAAAAGTATGCTTTTCAGCGCAAACAATTTTCGCTGTTTCGATCGTGTTCTCGCTCAGTTTCTCTGCTTGTAGCGAAGATGTAGCTTGTTCTAGGTCATGTCGACGTCTTCTAGACGTGGTGGACGATTGGAGAGATCGGCTGTGGCGATATCATCGCGGAATGCGACTCGAAATTGAAAATTTGTATCGCTGATCCCATCGCAGTATTCGCTCTCAAAACAGGAGCGAGAGGGAGGGCAGCGATGGCCTAAAATCGTCAAGGCAGGCGTAATTCATCAGCCAGCGACTGCTTCTTGTCTTCTCTTTCACTTACCTGACGCTGGATGTGAGTAGATGAAGAAAAATATAGATTTCGAATCTGAGACAAGAATTCAAAATTTGCAATTTTGAACCAATTGTTTTACCTCAAATGTGTAAAAATATGACCATTTCCCTGGTATGTTGTTACTCTTCATGCACTGAGACAACGCTTATGAGGTTGTTTTGTCCCTATGTTCCCAGTACACAAGCACAAACTAATTCTCAGTCTATTTGTTTGTGATACCCTGGTTGGTCAGAAATATGCACAATTGGCGCGTATCTTTGGTATTCCACCTATGGCCTTCATATACTACTGCATGCTGTACCAATATCCATGCTTACCTGGGTGCAGTGATACATATGGAGTCAGGAAAACACAACTTGCATATACAAAAGTTGTCTAGATTTGATACCATGGTTGCTTCTTTGGCTGTGATAGCCTCTTACATACATTAGATGGCTGGTACATAAAGGGTTAACCTGGGTTATTGTATTGACAATGCAGGGTTTAACCTGGGTTATTGTATTGACAATGCAGGGTTTAACCTGGGTTATTGTATTGACAATGCAGGGTTTAACCTGGGTTATTGTATTGACAATGCACTCGGACAAACTGGCAGCTATCAGTCTTCCTTCTGCTTTTCGACCACAGAAATGAGACAGAGGGCTTCATCAAAATTTCCCTTCCTATGTATTGACATGTGCATCGAATGTTATAAATAGTGGTATGCACGGGTAGTCTGGTACTCTTGCTACCCGTGAGGACCTCGGGTAGACGGGTACAGAATAGTACCCGAAAACCCGAAGTCTTAGATGACATCATGTACAGTGGACGTGTGCATATTTATGTAATACTCCGCATGTCTACCCAGTGTGGAAGGGAAGGGGTGCATTGTGGCGTTACCATGGAAGCATTACCCGATCGGGTACCCGTGCTACCCGTGGAAAACTACCCGATGCCCGAAGAAAATGCTACCCGACTCAGCCCTACAACTTATAAATAAACTGTGCTTGTTTCCTTGATGTACAGTATATCTATGATTTTGTCTTTGGAATGTTGTCTGTGCAAAGGCAAGTCGGCCGACTGAGCCCCTGAAGCAAGGCTACCTGACCAAGCAAGGTGCCGTACGCAAGAACTGGCTGAAGCGCTACTTTGTGGTGCGAGCGGACTACAAGATTGAGTACTACGAATCGGAGGATGTAAGTCAAACATTTGTGATGTCCGTTAGTAGAGGTGAGGATGTATTTGATATGGAAGAGGTTAAGTTGTGCATAATTGATTGACACGATGTGAATTTCCACTCACGTTCTTTGTCTCACGCAGGGTTTTAAACTCTGCACCAAACTCAATTACTTGAAACTAAAGTTAAAAGTGATTTAACCCTTTCACTGCCAGCTGACTGCTCAAGTGACAAGGCACTCAGTGCCAGGCTGTCAGCTGAGCTGTGCACTCCCCAGTGCCAGGCGCTTTTTACCTCCAGTTCAAAAAATCGAAAGGCCAACTTTTCCTGGATTTTTTGGTACTTTCTGTACGGAATATCGCTTTCTAAAGTATACATCGTAGGTAGCCAACTGATAAAGGAAGCCATTGCCCTCGAAAAAAATCGCAAAATCCGAAGTACAAGCGCGCTGAGCGTTCTAGCGCCAGCCGCTGTGCAACAAGTCATGTCATGTCATGCGAAAGTGCGCCGCGTGCCGCATGCACTACATACACTGCATGTACACCATGTGTACGGCCCGGCCAGTTGCGAAGTAAAGTTAGTTAGGTGTTGTTTTGGAGAGAGAAGGAAATCCTGTTTTTCGTTCGGTGGGATTGAAAGATCTGCCAGTGGACCGGAGAGCTACAACACTTGAAGCAGAAGAAAGTGCTTGCTGAAACTTCCCTGTCTTCGTGGCAACAGGACTTCAGTTTGCGAGAGACTTTCGTCCTGTCGCTGCGGACGCAATTCTTGTTGCTTGCAGAAAACTTGGGGAACGGTCGCGACTCGTTTCGTGAGGCGGATCGTGTCGCTGAACAGCCGCGGATTGTTCTGCCGACATGGTGGTCCTTTGTTCTCCTAATTATCAGCAGTCCAAGCACATCTCTTCAACGTCGGAGAATGAAGCGCTTCCCTGTTCCGTTGACAAGCGCTTCGCTCGCGGGTGTAATGCACTTCCGCATCAGCTTGCAGTAGATCGCCAGGTATTGAGGTAGGTGTCGTTGCGGAAAGAATAATATTATTATACTTGTAGCTGACATACCTGTAGTGTCCCTTGACCGTGCTGGTCGCCATTGCAACGTTTTAGGTCTCAGGAAAATTGAGTTCTGGACGCGGCGAGCGCCGCCAGCGCTGTTTCCGTCAATTATTTTGTACATGGCTGCATCCAAAATGCGTTCGTGAGGAATCCGTCGTTTGGTTCCCTACCCGTGACTCCAACCGCCTGTCGCAATGGATAGCCGCCTGGAGTCTTGGGTAATAGCTAGGCATCAAGTCTGAACCAAATTCCATGCTCTATGCAAAGAAAGCTGACGGGAAAGAGAAAAATACTCGCACCGACTCAGCTCGTTGGAAGTGCGTGGGAACCGATTTTTTTCAGCGCCGCTCGGCTAAAAATTGGATACACATTTTCAACGACGCTGGTTCGATTTTTTTCAAATGGCAACCCCTACTCCTGGCAGCGTATTTCAATGGATATGGACCCCTTCCAGGGCCCAGTAACCCTCTATGGCAGCTAAACATCTCCAATACCCCAAAATAGTGGCCCAAACTGGGCGAAGTCGGCCTGTCGACTGCAGTCGACAGCGGCACTGGGAACTGCATTCTTGCTGGTCGACTGCAGTCGACAGCGGCACTCAGAGTGCATGAATGGGCTGTCGACTGGAGTCGACAGCGGCAGTGAAAGGGTTAATGTCGTGTCCATGTGCCTTTTAGCCTTTGTCTGGATGTTGCAAGATATATTCGATTTTCCAGTTTTTCAGCATGCAATGTGACGCACATCTGTGCTTGCGTTCATTCATCCGCCTGTGTTTGTGTGTGTGTGTGCGTGCGCGCGCGCGTTCATGCGTGCGCGCGTTCGTGCGCGCGCGCGTTCGTGCGTGCGTGTGTGTGTGTGTGTGTGCGTGCGTGCGCCCGTGTATGTGTGCTCCCGTGTGTGCGTGTGTGTGTGTGTGTGTGTGTGTGTGTGCGTCCGTGCGTGTGAGTGCACCCGTTTGTGTGCATGCGTATGTTGTGTGTAACCACACGTGCATTACCTACACATCCGTCCAGGCGTTCAAGAACAGCAAGTCGCCGAAAGGCACCATTGTACCGTGCTCGTTCACCGTCCAGCATGATCCCGTCAAGAACCGTCTTGAAGACCTAGCAGAGACCGCACAGAAGATGGGTAAGAGCAACGCTGTTAGATCGGGTCAGGCTTTCTGGCCGTGACCTGGCCACGTTTTGTTCAAGGTGGTTTCGTGAAACCGCAAGAAGTGTAAAAATGGGAGCATGCCAATGTAGCCAGAAGCAGGACTGCGTAGCCATTTGTCACGACGTTGACATGATGTTCAACGTCATGAGATTATTTGCAGTACACGTCATAGTTTGTGTTCTCTACCCCGGTTTTGTTTCCGCGTTCCCACACCGAAGCTGGGCCGCGTGTTTATTATTTCTACTGACTCACTCACCTCTTGGCGACTTTCTCCATGTTTTTTCCTCCCTTTTTGCTCTGCGCAAGCGCCTTGCGCTTTAGTCGTCGTCTTCTTTCAGTTCACAGCAAGAACAATAATTTTACCTCTTGTGCAGTGTCAGTCAAATTCAGTCAAATCAAGCTCTCCCGATCCCAAGAAACTGTCTGGCGTGTGCACAAAGTGGTGCCGAAACCCGGGACATGAACCGCACCGGAGCTCGAAACGAGCCGTGCGTACCATTCCAATCTTGAGAAAGATAGACTCGACTCAAATAATTTGTAAGCAGCTTGCCCGATTTGGGTCGTCGAGCTAACATGCCGAAGAGAGCAGTGACGACCGGCACGCAGATCATGCGCCGGGCCAAGATCGCGCAGCTGCAAGGATCCATCGACGAACTCGTCAAAGAGGCCGAACTCCTTTTATCGAAGGAAGGAGGTCAAAGGGCCGACGAGTTGTCGCCAGAACACGTGGACTCGGATCCAAAAAAGCTAAGTACACTTGTGGATTGTATTGTTGAAGAATTGTACGCATATGATGAGGCGTGTGATGCATTGGCCAGTGTTTTGGACTCGGAGACTCTGGAGGGTTCAGATGAGGCTCTGCAAACGGAGATCTGCGATGTGGTTGCGTATTCGGTACGCATCAGAGGGTCAATTGTTGAATGCAAGCGATCTCCGCAGTACAGAGCCCAGACGAACCGTCCAGAAGCTGCTACTACTAGTACTAGCTCACCAAGTAGCACCAAGAGTACGGGCAGTGCGGGTATCAAACAAGAAACTAGTATGGTTGATTTGTCCAGCATCCAACAGTCAATAGGAGATCTTGTTCGTACGCAGTCTATTACACATAGTCAACACCAGCAAGTATTACAGTCGCAAGAGGATCTAATCAAACAACACCAACTAGTCGTACAACACATGCAAGCATCATCACCTCAACCACAACCAGCTCCCACAAGTTCAGTCAATTTGCCCAAATTTGAAATACCAACATTTTCTGGTGATTTCCTGAAATGGGCTGAGTTTCACGATATGTTTGTTGCGTCTATTGATGCGAATCAAGGGTTGTCGGGTGTCCAGAAACTGTCGTACCTAAGAGATCACGTAACGGGTTTGGCTCGGGATGCCATAGCTGGCTTGCCCATATCAGATACCAACTACACAACCGCGCTTGACATTCTCCGCAAACGTTTCGGGAATGATCAGCTTCGCGTCAATGCACACTACACGGCAATCATGGACTTACCGCCTGCGTCCAACGCTACTCCATCTTTGCGTAGGTTGCACGATGCGTTGGAGGTGCACTTGCGAAGCCTCACAGCGCTTGGTGAGAATGTTAATCAGGCGGTGTTTGTGTCAATGATTACGAACAAATTGCCACGCACCACGCTAGCGGCTTTGGAATTAAAAAAGGGGCCACAATCCTGGACCGTTTCGGACTTGCGCGCTGCAGTAGCCAACTTCATAATAGCGAATGAAGCAGCAGATCGCCTCAGCCAGCCACCGAAAAAATCGCACGAATCACCATCTGCCAGTGCGTCCGGTCAATCTCTTGTTGCCTCAGCTTCAGCTACTTCAAAAGCGAAGCCCAAGAGAGTGTGTGTTTTTTGCAGTTCGGAGGCACATTTCTCTGACGAATGCAATAAGTACACTACAGTAGAAGCGAGGAAGAGCGTAGCTAAACAAAGGTGTTTCAAGTGTTTGCGATCAGGCCACTCCGTGCACGATTGCTCTAGCAAACGGCGGTGTTTCTATTGCCACAATCCTGCACACCACAGCAGCTTGTGTCCAGATAAATTCACTGCCGCATCCACTCAGAGGCAAGCTTCCACTATGAGCCCGAATGCTCAGTCCTTCAAACCCAAGCCTGCCACGAGCACGGTCGCAAACGCCGATCACCAGATCATGATGCAAACTGCTGTGGCACCGTTTCTCTCCTCCAAGCTGAAGCCGATCAATGGCCGTATTCTCTTTGATACCGGCTCCACCAAGACATACATCACGCAAGCTTATCGAGATCAGCTCGATTTGCCCACAATCGGAAATGAAACACTCTCCTTGGCTACATTTGGGAACAACAAAAGAAAAAGTACCGTGTACGCCAAGGTGAGTTTGACCATGCAGTGTAAGGATGGGTCCACTCGTGCGATTCAGGCCAGTGTACTTCCGAACATAACCGCTCCAATTGCGCGATGTCCACTTGCTTCTTCTTTTCCTCTTCTACAGTCTCTGCCACTTGCAGAACCGCTCTCCAGCAGCGCAGAGCCCATGGTCGTAGACGTCTTGATTGGTCTCGATCACTATTATGATATTATCGGCAAGGACCGCACCGAACTAAGCGGTGGTCTGGTCTTGCTCGACTCCGTTCTTGGTTTTATCTGTACCGGCAGTCTGCCTGTGCCTGCCACCACAGAGGCGCAGTCATGTCTTGCTCATCAAACAGACACGGACCCTGAATTCGACCTCCGTAAGTTCTGGTCGACAGAGAGCTTGGGTACTTTTGACGATACCATTCGTGCGGTTCCCGATGTTGCCTATCGCTATGTCCGCTCTGCCGACAATCCCGCCGACTTGCCTTCACGCGGTGTCTCTGTTCCTTCCCTTCAAGCCAGCTCGCTATGGTGGCACGGTCCACACTTCCTTGCCACTGCTGACCATCACGCCGAGCCAGCACTTGATCACCATGTCAACGTTGCCGCTGGGGAGGGTCCTTCAAGCACTTCGGAGATACCTGCACCTGTATCACACCCAACAGAGTCCACCGGTCCAGACACTGAGCTTGCACACGAAATGAAAAAAAAGCCTGATGCGCATCACGAACAAAAAAAAACATGTGATGAACCACCATTTGGTATTGATTGTGCCAGGTTTTCGTCTTTCAGTGCCTTAGTGCGTGTTTCTGCTCTGTGTTTGCGGTTTCTCTCCAGGTTGAGACCACAAGGCGGCAAGTCCTTCGGGGTGGATTCTAGTTGTAACTCAGAGGTCAAGGTAGCCAAAATCATGTGGCTACACCATGCACAACAGAATCTGTCAGACGTCAGTGCTGTCGAAAATTGTAAGAAGCACAGCCCGAAGGACAAGCTGCGGCTCTTCCTCGATGAGAACCGCCTCATCAGATGCAGAGGACGCTTGGAGAACGCCGAACTTTGCTATCAAGCAAAGTATCCAGTACTGATTCCCCAAACGCATCCCATCACCCAGCTCATCATCAACGATTGTCACCTGATGACGATGCATGGCGGCGTTGCACACACGCTATCAAGACTGCGTTACGAGTACTGGTTACCACGAGGGCGTGCAACAGTGAAGTCATTCATCACTAAGTGCCTGACTTGCCGGAAGCACCACGGTGGTCCATACCGCACCCCAGATATGGCCCCGCTTCCATCTGCCCGCGCAACAAGATCTATCCCGTTCACCCATGTGGGACTAGATTACTTCGGTCCTCTGCTCGTCAAGCACCAGCCAAGTACCAAGAAGGTATGGGTCCTCCTAGTGACATGTATGGCAACTAGAGCTGTCCATCTAGAACTGGTGGCAGACATGACCACAGAGGAATTCCTGCTAGCGTTCCGCAGGTTCGTGTCGTTGCGTGGTTGCCCTGAAGAGGTAGTGTCTGACAACGCGCCACAATTCATCCTAGCTAAGTCTGTTCTGGATGTGGCCTTTGAAGAATTGGCAACGAGTGATGATGTCCTGTCGTACATGTCGAGGACTGGTGTGAAGTGGCACTATAACCCACCGATCTCACCTTGGATGGGTGGTTTCTACGAGCGTCTCGTTGGAACAGTCAAACGAAGCCTGAAGAAGGTCGTTGGCCGCGCGCTCCTCACTGTGTCGCAACTGACTACCATTCTCATGGAAGTGTCAGCAGTCGTCAACTCGCGTCCACTGGTGTACGTGGACAACTTGTTTAGTTGAATCAGCTAGACAGTTGGTAGTTCACATCTGAACTCTCTCTCTCTCTCTCTCTCTCTCTCTCTCTCTCTCTCTCTCTCTCTGTGTGACGGTCTACTCTCTTTCACCCTTGCGTATGTTATATGCACTTATTGTGTTTTGTTTCCACGTTACTTTGTTACGAATTATCTCCTTTTCTCTGCATCTCTTGCGGGGGAGTGTCACGACGTTGACATGATGTTCAACGTCATGAGATTATTTGCAGTACACGTCATAGTTTGTGTTCTCTACCCCGGTTTTGTTTCCGCGTTCCCACACCGAAGCTGGGCCGCGTGTTTATTATTTCTACTGACTCACTCACCTCTTGGCGACTTTCTCCATGTTTTTTCCTCCCTTTTTGCTCTGCGCAAGCGCCTTGCGCTTTAGTCGTCGTCTTCTTTCAGTTCACAGCAAGAACAATAATTTTACCTCTTGTGCAGTGTCAGTCAAATTCAGTCAAATCAAGCTCTCCCGATCCCAAGAAACTGTCTGGCGTGTGCACACCATTGTCCTCAACATTATCTGCCTGGCCACTCCTGAAGTGCTTCTGACGGGCCTGAAGAGTGACCAACCACAGTACACCCAATGGTGATGGTGTTTGTACTGTGATGGCAAGTGAAATCCAACCACATTCAGGGCTATAGCCAAAAGGGGGGGGGGTAAGGGGTAAGGGCGCAGACCCTCCCCCCTCCCCACCACACTCTGATTGAGCCCCTCCCCACCACACTCTGATTGAACCCCTCCCCACCTATTTTTTTGAAAGGCTATTCAGCGAAAATGCTGGGGAACAACTGCCCTTCTCTCGGTGGTATAGGGAATACAGTAAAACTGCCCAGATCTGGACGTCCCTAATACGGGCACGTCGTTTACCGGGCACCTTTTCCACCCATCTAGAGTCACAAAAAATGGCATTCAGATCTTGTCTTGGCTGTATTAGTGGTACCATGTGTCTCTGCTTTTCCCTTGTCTTGGCTGGATTAGGGGCAGGGCCGTTGGAGTCGATACGACTGGTACGACCATGGCCGTACCACTTCTGGTGACCGGTAGTCACCGTGAAACGCTCAGAAAGGCATTAAAAAAGTTTTGAAAGTTGGAGAATGCCGGACTTGCTGTACAATGTTCAAGATATGCATCAGGGGTGGTTTCTATTGCATGGAATCCCGAATTTTTCTAATTTTTCCCTGGGGGGGGGGGGGAGGCGTACCACTCGCCAACAGTCTCTAACAGCCCTGAGGGATACCATGTTCTCTGTTTTGCCCTTGTTTTGGCCGCCGTGTAGGTGCTCTTGTTGCTGACCTGCCCAAGCCCGACCCGGTACCGGACTTCTGTTTTGAGCTGTACCATCCACGCCGCCGATGCTTCTTCATTCAGGCTGAGAACAACGAGGAGAAGCAAGAATGGCTCAAGGTGTTTGAGCGCTGCCGCTACAAGTCCAGAGGTGTGCATAATGAAGCTCTTGTGGGAGATGTTGTCACATGCGTGTGTGTGTGTGTTTGTGTGCGTGCGCATGCGTTGCGCGCGCGTGTGTGTGTGTGTGCCTGTTTTGTATGTGTATGTGTGTGCATACGGTTTTGCACACACCCATGTTTGCTGTGCATGACCATTCTGCAAAGCTGAGAGTTAGTCTATTCTCTATATTTGCCATAGGTAGTGGATCTGTTCATGGTTAAAGCTTCAATGTTCAGTGACTGTTTGTGTATGTGTGTGTGTGTATGTGTGTGTGCGTGCGTGCATGCGCGTTCATATTTGTGTCTATTTGTGTACTTGTCTCTGTCCGTTATTTCAGCTCTCTCGGACGACCCCGTCGCGAACACTGCGTTCATCGAGGCTGTCAATGCCACACGACGTGCATTACGTCGCTATGGTTGGTGGTATCTCAATGGAAGTGAATCTCAGGTAACCGGTGTTTCTAAACAGTGTGAGGTATATCCGTCCCTGTTGTACATGCACTGGCAGTTGACAACAGGGCTTGAACGTGATCGTGTCAGGAGTCATCAAATAACGACTTCTTGGTTAAACTGCATCCACTCTGACCATCATGAAGTAGAGTATCCAATGGTACTGGTGGGGGGGGGGGTTGTTGGGTATCAGCACTGGGACTGGGAGCGCCTAGTCCAGCCAATACCAGTGGATGTGTCACTGTGCTGTGAAGGAAAACCACCCGGATACATATGCAGGGCCAGTACAACCATAGCCGGATCACTTTTCGTCCAGGATGGTCCGCCCAAAGCGCCTGTAGAGCGCTAAAACGTGCCCTGTCAGCTGGGAGCAATGCACTGCACGACTCCTACTACATAATTATAATATCGAGAGTAAAACGATGTAGTGCTGGTGTTGTAGTACATTATTTTGTGTACGTGGTGTGTACGTGGTGTGTACGTGGTGTGTACGTGGTGTGTACGTGGTGTGTACGTGGTGTGTACGTCGTGTGTACGTCGTGTGTACGTCGGTTGTACGTGGTGTGTACGTGGTGTGTACGTGGTGTTGGTGCATGCGCGTGTTGCTGTGGTGTGAAAAGCAGTCTTTGTCTTGAGTTCGTCATGTCTAGTTGTGTTTCCGTAGTCGTCTTGTAATAAACAGTCTTCCTAAATGTAGTTATCGTCGTCCCTTTGTATAAGTGTGGAGATGGATTGGGACTGGGAGCAGGTGGAGAAAATTATTACAACACTGGCTGCCTGCTCTGCAATTTTAAACTCTGTACTCCACTAGCTCCAGAAGCACAGTCTTTATGTCCGGGTTAGAGAGCTGTGAACATTGCTCACGATGTGTGTTTTCTGTTGTTCTCTTCGTGCCCATGCTGCACGCAGATCCTGACCGACGTCATTGTGTGGGAGGTTGATCATATCATGATGGCGGACATCTATCGGGAGATCAAGGGACCTATGCAGTTACGATGGATGGCTAGAAATCAGGTGAGGAGAGTAGAATTAGATAAGGATCAGGGGCGTCGGACACGGTACGGTCACTACGGTATTCACTGTACCACTTTTTGCCCCAAGTACCTTGTGTGAATCTATAAAATACACTGATCTGGGCTCTAAATTTCCAAAAATGTCGGCTCAGCAACCCTTCCCCCACGAGTAAATTGTACGGTTCAGATGGCTGACCGTACCACACTAAAATACCTTCCGACGCCTCCGAGGATGGTGTAACTCCTCTGTAGCCTCGTCATGATTAATTATGAACTTCTACCGCACACAGCCGCCCCAAGTCTTTGGCTACACAAAGTAAAAATAGAAATCTCTCCAAAAAACGTCAAATACCAAAGACTTGGTGCGGCTGTGTGCTGTAGAAGTTCAAAATTAATCGTGAGTAGAAGTGTTTCCCCTGTCATAGTCCTGTTCATCATGTTCAGCATAAGCGAAGTTGTGAATCATGCTTGCATGGTTGACTCCAACGCGTACATGCAAGTAATAATAAATAATAAGAGTGTCGATGAATTCCTGCCGATGGAAATGCTACCTTCGAATCGTTCTCACTACTGCTCAATGGAATCCAATCGAGTCACTCAAGTACGCTCCGGGCACTGCACAGCCCTAGACCTGCAAACGCTGGGCTGCGAAATCGTCGCAAGGCGCGCACTTGACTCGCGTGACCAGGTTTCATTGAGCAGCACTGTACTATATTGGTCTGTGATGTGCATATCACATAGCCGTTGTGGGCATGATCGATTGGGCGAATCCCGAGCAAGTGTGCTCCGAGTGAGCGTGATCGTTTGGTCGAATCCGATCTAATCCGGAGTAAGTGTACTTGGAGTGGAATCCGACCACACCGGCCCCCACACCCGGAGTGGTTGGAGTGGAATGGACTTTGGCGTTTTTGGACAGCTTTCACCGAATCTATGTACGATATGCATGCATTTCGCGTACTACAACCTTGTTTTGTTTGATTGGGCCAGCGTTGCTCGGTCCACACCGCCTGCTCGCACTCAATCCAGGTTCGCCAATGGATGACACCCTATGTTCTCCACTATGAGCAGAGTTTGAAAACCGGTCATCCATATTTATTTCTCGGGTACGGAGCCAATGCTGAGCCAATAGTAAAAATGTAAAAAGTAAGAAAGGGCACATGGGTTACGAGTTGGTTGTTATCTTGTTACAGTAGCGGATAGTTAATCATAACTCGTAACCCATGTGTCCTTTCTAATTTTTTATTTCTGTTTTTATTTGTTCTGTCAGGTTATGAAGGCACTTGACACGTCCGTCTCCGGAGCAGTGGCCACAAGCTTGCAAGCGCTCACCAAAACAATCTCTATGGTGAGGGAGAAGGTGGAGCCGGTCATGCGCTCCAAGATGACCTTCATCGTCGAGTCCAAGGAGAAGATCCAGGAGAAGATTAAAGGTATGCACTGCGTTGCTATCACATCCAAATCTCCCAGCTATGTGCATACAGTAAAACCTGTAATGGCGACCACTCGGATATGGCGACCACTCGGATACGGCGACCACTCGGATATGGCGACCACTCGACCATGGCGACCACTTTTCCTTGTCACGGACGCATTCACATTCAAAACACCTCGGATAAGGCGACCACTCGCTCAACGCAACCGGCGACCACCCACCCGCGACCGCTTTGTACAGTGCTAGTCATGTAAATGTACGCATTGCATGGTGCACCATGTACCAGGCATGGTATACCGGTAGATCTACACATCAGTGCAGGAAGTGTAGATGTACATGGTGCATGCACGACATTTGACAGGTCTGAGGACCCCAGGCACATGAGTCGTGCTAGAGAGTAGAGTAGCATAGGTGTGTGCACTGTGTGATGCACTGATCAAAATGATGTATCACATGTGGATATGGTCACGTGACCCACTGAACCTGGATAAGAAGACCACCTGGCCACGGCGACCACTTTTTCTCGTCCCTTGAGGGGTCGCCTTAGACAGGTTTCACTGTATATCTGTGTGTGGTCTTTGACGGAATAACAGCTGTTTATAAGTCCGATACTTTCTAAAACCCACTCTTGTAGTTTCTCATCGCACCCATTCAATAGAGAGGTTAGTATGCACGTTATTTCCCACGTGACGCGCAATTTCACGTCAAACTTGGCGTAAAACTCCCAATTTCAACGCGAGCTGCGGGTCGCTCGCGTTGTTTTTCGACGCGCGAGCCAAACAACGCGAGCTGAACTTTGGCGTCACGTCTGAAATAACGTGCATCTTAACCTCTCTATTACCCCTGCCCCCCGCCCAAAAAAACATCCCAACGCACATGTATGTCGACCACTGTGCTGTATTCTTGTTGTGTTTTACTTTGAGTACAAGACGAAGCATACAAGCACTACCCCCCCCCCCCCCCCCCCCCCCCCAACTGTACTTACAAAACTAAAGCATTGTTCCTTGGTCCTTTTTTATTTATTTTTATAAAGCATTATTATACATGCATGGCCTGTTTGTATTTGTATTTGTATTTTAAGGGATTCTGCACAGCTGCCTTAGCCTAAATCGAGGGAGTCTCTGTCAACAGCTTATGAAGAAGAAGCTGAGGAGGAAAATGAAAATAGGAGATAGAATGATGCGGGGTGGTAGTACTATAACACAGTGCTCTATGACGTCGCTACTCTACGTGGAATGAAACCAGAGGGCTCATAACGGGTGATAGCAAAGTGTGTGCGGACAAGAGCGGTAAAACATTTTGGGCTGGTGTTGCAAACAAGGTCCAACCTTCCGGGCGGAATACTGGTTTCGCGAAGGAAACGATTCTTGGTGTCGAACGAAATATGCTTGACTGCTCGCCCACGAGCGAGAACATTTCATCAACGCTATCACATCACAACTAGAAACTCTGTTCTTCTCGAACACCTTATCATTGTTGCCCTGAATACGAGATTTTGCTAGCAACGGACCTTTCCATAGTGATGTGCATTTAAGCGTATGTGCCTGCATCCGGGCATAAGCGCACCCTCACAAATAAGCGCATGTGCCTATATCTGGGCGTAAGCGCACCCTCACAAAATAAGCGCATGGGCTTGTAAGTGAACCTAAATGCGCCACACGGACACCACAAATACACCATGTTGACATACAGTCAGCTTCGCTAATAACGACTGCGGATATAACGACAATTTGCGAATAACGGCAGAATTTCCATGCCCAGAGCAAAGTCCCATTTAACTGTAATAACTCCGGGTATAAGGACACTTCGCGGATAAGAACACTTTTCTGATGCCCCGTCGAGTGTCGTTATACGCAAAGTTGACTGTAGTTTAATGTGCAGTGCGGTATCGCACTATTTGCATGACTATACACTAGGTACCGATACACTAGCAACACATAAGCGCATGCGCCTATGTGTGAGACAAAACGACCCGCAGAAAATAGCAAATAACACAAAAACCCACCCATAAGCGCATGGGCCTTTATGTGCATCAATACGGTAGCCTTCTTAGCAACGCCTTGCAATGTCATTCTTCTGTGAATGCAGTATGATGAGCTAGTTTGACATTGGTTTTCAGGACCGCCCGAAGCAGTGTTTGATTGGTCTGTCGATCGCATAAGTCGTTCATACTTTGTAGGGCTGCAACGGGTAGGGGGTTTGGTCGGGTAACGGGACCGGGTATTTTTATCCGGGTAGCACGGGTACCCTATCGGGTATTCTTGACACAGTTTGTACTGTGAGTGTGCACTTTCTGTGCACTTGCGCTACATAGAAAGTGTACAGTATACACGTAGCCGTGCTGTTTACATGAACCGTTGCCAAAAACACCGTACTCCAACTACCCGATCGGGTTCTCAGGAGCAAATTGCTACCCTGCTACCCGATCAAATTACGGGCAGCACGGGTGCTCTAATTTCAGAAATTTTAGGTGTTCAATATTTTCGGTATGAGAGCAAAAGGTCAGGTTAGGTGAACAGAATTTTTAGGTACAGAGAAGCAGTTCCCTATTGGATTGTGTTTGTTAGTGTTTGTTTGGTGTATTGAACTTTTAGGTATGAAACAGACGCACTGAAAAAAAATTCACGGTTCGCGTCAGACTCGGTTGCTCTATATAGAGGCCGAGTTTTCCGCATCCGTAGGAACGCCACCACCCTTCAAGGATCAAGGCGCAGATGCAGCTCCTAAAGCGGTGGGAGGCGAGTAGATCAGCTCACCAGCATGTGGTCAAAGATCGAAAATCCCATTCACTGCATCCATGTTTTCCTCGTGCCAGGCCACGAGTTCCCAATTAACTGTGGGTTGCAGCACGGCTGGAAAAAAAATCCTTCCGCTTCCAAGCAGGACTTGAACCTGGTACCCTCTGTTTCTCAATCATGGTCTTAGACCATCCCACTATGCCTGCCTATGGCGCACTGAAAGTACTGAAAGTACTGAAAATAAAAGTACACCGTAAATTTGTGAAATTACAGTACCCTACTACTTGTTAACACCACCCATTACTTTGTGTATGATATAGCGGGACCGGGGTAGACAAACCCTTCCTCAGTAGTAAACATGATGTGGTGGTTGACAAGTAGGTACGGTGTTGGCCTGACTGACAGGACCGGTTCCGGCGGGAATGTTTTTTACACGCAGCACTCACCCACCGATAAGTGCTGTACGTGAATTCCTGTGCTGTATCACGCTGTGGCCTCTTGAGCTGTACGTCTTCCTTGCCCTTCTTCACGCAGATGCGTGCCTGTGTAAGATTGAGCCGGTGCTGGCGGAGAAAGTGGCGCCGCGTTTGACCGGAGTGCTCAACATTCTATTCTCGCCGGTGAGTGCCGATTGTTCACTGTCTCTACACCACACGGTAGTGTGTAGTGTTTGTCGCAGCATTGTCTCCCTCCGCATTGTCTCTGTCCATATTGTCTCTCTCCGTATTGTCTCTCTCCGCATTGTCTCTCTCTCTCTCTCATCTGTACTGTAATTTGCATGCTTGTTGTAAATAAATAAATGATTGTCTTGTCCCGCAATGGACTTCTGTGTGGGATGCAGGCCGAACACAACAGACTCCATCTGCAAATAAGAGATAACGGAAGTCTTTGATATGGTCAAGCCATAATACATGTCTGATGTGCCGAGAAAAAATTTAGAATGAAACCAGCAGCATTCGGCCATTGAGGAATGATGTGCAAATTGACTATGCATTACCCCGGGTGTGCTCTTTGGCCGGCCACACAGACCTCCTGCAGCAGCAAGAGGTTCCTTCCGAGTAATGAAACGAGTACTTGAGTCACGCGACCACTGTGAATTCGGTGCTGATGAAACACATGGTTCGCAGTTGGCGAAAAGAAAAAACCGAAGATGTCAGAAATGAAAAGAGCCGTCCGTGCGGCAAATAAGGCATGCAGCTTTTTCACCGAGTAAAGGGTAGATGTGTCGGAGTTGCATTACTTGATAGAAAGTATATTTTTCACAGTTAAGAGTATTTATTTTGTAGAGCTTGAGCGGATATAGATTCCTACGAACCCCAAGATGGGCAGGTAGTTACATTTTTCTCTTGCATGTCATGTATTTTGTGACACAAAAACTGGGTGGCTTATAATCCTAGGCGGCTTATTTATACTCCGGGAATACGGTAGCAATCATTGTGGTCAGAACCAAACATAGTACCGTATTTCCTCGATTAATGGACCATGCTCGAAAAATAGACCATGCTCAAATAGTAGACCCTCCTAGAAGCCTCACGGAAAAATAGTAGACCATGCCCGAATAAGAGACCCGGTCTCTTATTTGAGTTCATAGCTTTGCGCATGCGCACTAAGAAAGCACGTGGTGGATCAAAAAAGGACGCGATTTTAGGTTGCGCAACTACAATTAATTGTTGTAGTGGCTAGTGCTTTCTTTCATTATTTGAGCACGGTCCACTATATTTTCATCGGCACATCGATACATCGCTGGAAATGGTGGATTTTTAACACGTCATAATATAGAACTTCTATATTATGACGTGTTAAAAATCCACCATTTCCAGCGATGTGCCGATGAAAATATAGTGGACCGTGCTCAAATAATGGACCATGCCCAAATAAGAGACCGGGGGTCCAACCCGCTTCAAAAAACAAAAGACCGGGTCTATTAATCGAGGAAATACGGTATGCATATCGAACAAAAGACCGACCGCGGATCAGATAATATTATATTCTAATAGTGGCCCAATGGGAGTACCTGACCTTGCTTTACATCCAACAAGCGTGTGTGTGTCTGTGTGTGTGCGTGCGTGCGTGTTTGTGTGTGCGTGCGTGTATGTGTATGTATGTGTGTGTGTGTGCGTGTGTGTGTACATGCCTTGTTCTATGTACTTGTCTTCGTATGTTCCTCTTCACCGTGCATGCCCATCTGCACAAATGTCCTCGTCGGTGACTGCTACCAGATGGCCGACGCGTTCAGCGAGACGCGTGCCGTGTTTGATGACTCTCTGGACGAGATGATCAAGAAAGTGGAAACTGACAGCGGTTTCGGGCCTCATCTCAATGTGGTGAGATCCCCTCCCCGTTTCTACTCTGAACACAGCCATTCCTGCAGTTCTCCATGTCCACCTCTGCCCCACTTTTCTACCGTACAGTGAAACATGTCTAAGACGACCGCTCATAGGACCTTCAAAGTGTGGTCTCTGTAACCAGGTGGTCTCCTTATCCAGGGTCATTTAACTAGAAATAGCATCCCTTGGTTCTGGCTGCAGTGGTCTTCTGGGACAGGTGGTCACCTTATCCGAGTGGTCGCCAAGACATGTTATACTGTACTAGTCACACAGAGGGGAACACTAGATTCCCTACACCAGCATTCCATTACTTGAATATGGCCTGATTGGGTTCTATCAAATTTGCCTTTGTGCGGAATTTTCTCTTAGAGCAGTCTAATATTGGTGTATGCAGGCAGTTTTTGAATTGATCCTATATTTGTAATCCGATGTTTGTACACTTTATGAGCAGCAGCATCTGCACATTGACCCTTGATGGTGGTGTTGTTCATGCGGATGCGGGAAAACCCGTCTGACGGACTCTTGATTTGTATATTAGGAGTATTTTGCCCTGAAGAGTCGACGAGGAGACAAACTTTTAAAACTGCAATGGATGAGATGAAGTGCACGGTAATTCTATGTTATCATTCAGCTATTTGTACAAACATCAACAAGGACCGATTTGTTGTCCCTAAGAACATTTTAAGAAATTTTGCACTGAACATGTTTGCAAATGTTGTAGTGACATGGCTTTGCTTTGTCCCCTTTTCCCCCTGCGTGCGTGCACAGCACTTCAAGAACCTGGACCGCGCACCACGCAGCTGGTGGACGATGCGCAAGGCGAACAAGAAGACGCGTGCCATGGAAGTGCCGCTCTGGGGTCTCAGGCAGTTCTTCGACGACGTCTCTCCCAACAAGCTGATCAACAAGGCCCAGGACACGCTGGCACTGGTAAGTTATCAGGCATGCTCGTACAGGCCTAGTCTAGTCTATGATACAACGAGTCCGAACAATCCGGTTGCGCTCGGTGAAATCTGACCCAAAGTGGAAAACGTGCGCCCTGTACCAGTTCTGATTACATCATTGTATTTGTACTCCCCCGCCGCATTCTTGCCACTTCCAGGGCGTAAAGGCCCTTGCAAGTTGAGGCCTCCCAACGTGCACTCTGGGTCGGATTTCACCGAGCACAACTGTACATAGCACCGATGCTGGAATCACAATTCTCCAGTCCCGATCTCGTGTGCTTGCATACTAGCACTGTGCTGGCAACTGAAATCCGACCCCCTGGGCGGCGCATTCACTTTCTAGCGGCCTTTATTTCGGGTCTTTGCGATGTGAGCGCACCGCTCAGGGGGTCGGATTTCAGTTGCCAGCAGTGTAGTGGTGTGTGAGGGGATTTTCTAGGCAGCTCTTGACTTTCTTCCAGCGATACGTGGACCTAAGGAGGACGAGACCCAGAAGGGGTAGGGGTGGTTTAACCCTTTTTGGACGGCAGCATGTTATATGTACAGCAGAAGCACTGTGAGCTGTGGATGGCAATGTGCAAGTTATGAATGTGTTGTATGTACAGTGGAACATGACCTAACTGGAAGCCCTTGGTGCAGCGGAAACTGTCCTGATATGACAGGATTCCGCTTGATCCAGGAATGCATGTTCGATCCACAGCACTTTGGTGCATGAACATTATTTTGTTCGGTCAATACAGGATCCCGCTTTGTGCAGGGTCCGGCACACACTGGTTTTATTGTGCAAGTAAACCTTTTCTCATATGTACAGGTAAATGCTTCCAAAAATGGCAGGTTTGGTAAATTCCCACCAACCATGAATAATATACTTTCAGCTAGATGGCTGATGCTTGTGGAAAAATGTGCTGCGCTTGCGTAGTTGTTCTTACTGCGATACGTTCTAACAATATTGAGATGCCTTTTGTCGGCTCTTCTGCCTGGATTTCGTTGACAGATGCGTTAAGCCCATGGATCCTTCCATGAGTGACATGCGAACTGTAACTATTATTATTATTATTAGACTCCAAAATAGTGAAAATTTGGCATGTAGGTTGTATAGTGTCTTTCTGGCAGCTGCTGTTGTTGCTGGCGAGACATGCTGGTAAGAGGGCGGGCTTTCATCGGGTGCAATACCAGCCAGCTGCTGCACAAGCTCCTCGTGGAGCTTGCATTGCGAATAGCTCTTGATCCGCTTGAAACTGTCAGGGTTTGCTTTCTGCTGTGCCTGAAAGAGCTCGCATGCGTTGTTCACGGCTATCTCCAGCATATCACCGACAATAACATTGGTGAATGTTATGGAGCGTCGTAGAAGCTTGTAGCTTGACACTAACTGATCATGCACATCAGCGTCACCCATGCATTTGATAATGCACATCAGCGTCACCCATGCATTTGATAATGCACATCAGCGTCACCCATGCATTTGATAATGTCCATCAGCGTCACCCATGCATTTGATAATGCACATCAGCGTCACCCATGCATTTGATAATGCACATCAGCGTCACCCATGCACTTGATAATGCACATCAGCGTCACCCATGCATTTGATAATGCACATCAGCGTCACCCATGCATTTGATAATGCACATCAGCGTCACCCATGCATTTGATAATGCACATCAGCGTCACCCATGCATTTGATAATGCACATCAGCGTCACCCATGCATTAGTTGTAATGTGCAATGGTGGCGGGCGTCCGCATGACCTTGTCCACCCGTTCCTCTCCTTCCTTGACTTTGATTGTGACGTCCGCGTAGCCGTTTGCCTGACAGGCGACGTTGAATTGGCCCAAGAACGTCAACCAGTCATTTCTGCTGGTGGTTCCGGTGAACTCCGGTGATAGTACTACAGGACGTCTCAAACCCGCCGGTCGGGCCGGAGCTGCTTCTCCTGCTGCTGCTGCTGCCTGAGGCTGTGCCATCTCGACACGCAAATGCACTAACGTAACGGAATACTCCGAAAATACACACAAATAGTTCACCGCTGCCACCAATGTAGTAACTGTAGTAGAGGCAATCACTCTCAAACTCAAGAACTCCAGAACTCTCAAACTCAAGTCAAAGCACTCACTTCGTAGTTTTACAAATAATTGTCAGGAAAGTTTAACTCGGATGGTGACATTTTGTCCTCCTTTTTCACCATAATCGTCAGGAAAGAAATATTCTCGGAAGGCAAAGACAGTAAAGAAGCAACAAGAAAGAAGAAAGCAAGGGAACAATAGTTCGGCAACCGGCAGCCATGTTTTAGGTCATTAACCAATAAGCGATCTACAAAAACCGGTTGCCGACAAAATTCTAGAACCTTCTGGAACCTCAGTATAATCAGCCAATCACAGTTCACAGCTCTGCAACATTCTGCAACATTAATACTAGCAGCCAATCACAGTTCACAGCTCTGCAACATTCTGCAACATTAATACAAGCGGCCAATCACAGTTCGCAGCAGCCAGTCATACGGGTAAAGTGGAGAAATACAGGTTTAGCCATACACGACTCGTACATGACTCACGAGCGACTCACGGAAAGGGTAATAACATGCAGATACAAACATGCAAGGAGAGAAAAAATGTAACTAACTGCTCATCTTGGGGTTTGAACCTAGGAATAATAACACACGCTTCTTGCCGAACTTGACACTTGACTGACTCACGACTGCCATCCGGAGCACACGAGGAGCACGTCGCACCTTCCACTCGGCAAACCTGCAAGAAAGCACCACTCCCTGCTCAATACACGGTGTTTCGGGGAATTCACCCCTCATCAGTTGAGCTTGAGTAGGCTGAGGAAGATTGTGCCTGAAAAGCACCACTTATATACTGCTCTCCAGGCCAAACCATCACCAGGGATACAAACTTACAGAGACGCTTTGTTTCCAGCGCGACAAACACCTCGTGAAACTCCAGATAGCAGCGTGAGTCAGAGTCGCTCATGGAGTTGTGATAAACAGACGTTGAGAGCCAGTATAGCTATTCGCAACGCTGTCACCTCCAACAACTAGTCGCACGTCCGCGTGAGTGACAACAATACGAACTTAGAAGTTGCGACTTCGGCGGTAATAGTCATGAAGTTGATTGTTCCAACTAGGAACACACGCTTCTTGCCGAACTTGACACTTGACTGACTCACGACTGCCATCCGGAGCACACGAGGAGCACGTCGCACCTTCCACTCGGCAAACCTGCAAGTGTGAAAAATATATTTCTATCAAATAATGCAACTCCCACAATACCACTCCCTGCTCAATGTACACTGTTTGTGGGGAAAGTGTGAGCTACAGTGTGGGTAGCAGACAAATTTCCTATAAAATTATAACTGAAGTCACTTCCACTATTTCATACCATAAAACGTAACAAGTGCAATTTTGCATGGTTATGTGTATGTGTGTGTGTGTGTGTGTGTGTGCGTGCGTGTGTGTGTGTGTGTGTGCGTGGGTGTGTGTGTGGGTGTGGGTGTGCGTGCGTGTGTATGTGTGTGTGGGTGTGTGTGTGCGTGCATGTGCGCATGGCCATACGTGCTGGTGCTCCCCTTTCTGTGAAAACAAGGTGCTGGACAACGCTATGTACACGTTTGAGAACAACTTGGCGGAGATGACTGGTGGTAATGCGTCGACCATGGACGTGCAAGAAGCGAAGTCTGCTATTCTCAAGTGCAAGGAATCCGTCATGGAGGTATGGATTCGTGATGTCTGTATTCCTGTCTTGCTGTTGAATGGTGTATTGCCAGCACCGTGTGACAAGTTGCTATGTCTAACACACATAGCTTGTGGGCATTGGCAACTGTTAGTGTTAGTGTAAGTGTGACTGTACCATGGTGGTCAACAGATGCGGGGGTGTCGGACAAACTCCGTTCACTACGGTATTGACCGTGCCACTTTTAGCCCCCGGGTACCCCGTGAATCAATCAAAAGCACTGATTTGGATTCTGAATTTCAAACATATTCAGCCGAGCCACCCCCTCCTAACAAATAAATTAAATCTCAGATGGCTGACCGTACCACACTACATTACCTTCCCATGGCCCTGACTGATATGTTGTCCTTGTGACCTCCACAAGGTCTGGGCTCTCCTTTTGGCGTCACACTCTGTGTGTGTGTGTGTGTGTGTGTGTGTGTGTGTGTGTGTGTGTGTTTGCGCTCGTGCATGTGTGTGCTTGTGCACGTGTGTGTGTTTGCATGTATCGATGGGTGTGTGTGTGTGTGTGACTGTACATGTGTGTATGTGCTGTGTGTGCTTGTGCATGCGTGTACGTGCTTGTGCATGCGTTTTGGTGTGTGCATGTGTAGAAATTCAGTGAGGATGCGCACAAAGCCACAACGTCATACTTCAAGGACATCATGGTTATGCTATGCATGCCAGTTATGCTCAAAGCTCTTGCACCTGTGTGTGAGCCGGTGAGTAGTCTCTCTGTCTCTCTCTGTCTCTGTCTCTGTCTCTGTCTCTCTCTCTCTGTCTCTCTCTCTCTGTCTCTCTCTCTCTCTCTCTCTCTCTCTCTCTCTCTCTCTCTCTCTCTCTCTCTCTCTCTCTCTCTCTCTCTCTCTCTCTCTCTCTCTCTCTCTCTCTCTCTCTCTCTCTCTCTCTCTCTCTCTCTCTCTCTCTCTCTCTCTCTCTCTCTCTCTCTCTCTCTCTCTCTCTCTCTCTCTCTCTCTCTCTCTCTCTCTCTCTCTCTCCCCCTCCCCTTGTCAATGTTACATGTATCTTTGTTTCTGGATATGTGTTCACTGTCACCCAGATCATTGAACCCATTGCCAGTACGGTACCGGATGAGCTATCCGACATTCTCGATGTGGAAAAGCTGTACGAGGAAACTGTGGAGAAGATCGTGCAAGGAGCTGTGGATGCAGGTGAGAATTCCGGCAGGTTGTACAAACGTGTTGTCAGGAGGGTTGAATTGTGTTGGTCAGCTAATGGAGTGAGCTGAGGCACATAGCAGAACTACCCCACCCAATTGAAGATTATCGTAGCTGAAGATAGTCTGGTTCGTTACAGGTGATGTTTAAAAGAAAGTAGAGTTAGCCGGATTGGCGGCCGCATCACCTGACGTGCTTTAGAAACACATCAAGCAAATACATTCGCATCGGCGAGCCACCACTTCGCCCATATACCCTTAGTGTCGAATGCAGACCTCACAAGTGAGTCAGGGGAGAGGGGATAAGTCTCTCACCAAGCGGGCGTGTAAAGGCCCTATAACCCCATAGACCGCATCCTTGTTGCCCTCACACCGAGCAAGTGAGTAGTACCCAGTTCACCGTGGGTGTCGGCACAGTTCATTGCACCTAAAGTGGTACCCCGCCTGCATCACCGCGATTGAGAGAGCACTAAACACACTCACTGTTACCAGCGCAGGTTTTCAACTCGGAACCTCATGATTCGCAGGCAAGCGCCTACAAACCAATCGGCTATACGCGTTACCGATGATGTTAGGTCAGCTGAAAAGCAGTCTACCTAGCTATACATGTTTATTCCACCACAGACATAGGGACAACGAATTGCATCAACTTCTGTCTCCTTCACTGCCAAACCATGGATACGATACTTTGTAACTTCACTGAAAATGAATCCAAGCAATGGTGGTCCACCTAGACTGCATCTTTACCAGTCACACGTTCTTCAGCAAATCCTACTGTACAATGTGTCTGTGTATAAACACGTGTACGCTCTTACCTCTGTTATCCGGACACCAAAGTTACGGGCGCTTCAGTCTAACGAGTTAAGTTGAAATATTACTACTCACTGTTTGTGGAAGCGGTGACATCAGGGTTGGCGTGTGTGTGCGTGCGTGCGTGCGTGCGTGTGTGTATTGTGTTCTGCTGTCGTAATGTTCTTGTCCGCATCGTTGGCGTTGTTGCTGTGTTCCTTCAGTTGTCGACCCAGCTTGTCAGCATCAACATAACAACACAGAGGCATGATATACGTAGCTGCTCGGCCCCCGTGCTCGGCCCCCGTGTCGTGCTGCATTTTCTGGACTAAGCATTCTGCCCGCCGCCTCCGCGACGTGCACAACCAACTCAGTGGTGTGCAGTGTCAGGAGGTTTCTCTCACTTGTTTCGTGCTGCGTTCGTACCTGTAGCTGTATCTATCAGGCTTGTTTTCTAAGGTTTCACACCGCATTTCCTGTG